CGTTGACGTAGTTTATTAATTAAAACTGGTTTTGCAATAATACTCTGACACAAACCCAAAGCTTCTCCCCCTTTTTTTTTGACACAACAGCTTCAACGGACACACCCAGTGAATCTTGTATCTCTTCTTTTTATTTTCCTTTCGTAGAAAAGTGAATCTTGTTTTCTATTTCTTTGGTTTTCAGTGAAAATATGTTAACAAGTGTATATATATTTTGTTGTGTTACCTATTGTAATCAAACAACACAATACTGCATCATGCAACGTTGTTTTTAGGATAATATAAGCAGAAAACGTCAACTGTCTCACATTTTTTACTCCACTCTAAAGGTTACACTTACACCGGGAAAAGAGAAAAATATAGAAGAAGAAACGAAGCAAAATTGAAAAAATTAGTTACCAAATGTTTGCTTCACCTAACAATTTAATTGGACGTTTTGGCGAGAGGTATTATTAAGAGATATAATTAAACACGAGTGCTAAAATTAACCCAAACAAAAAAAAAAAAAGTACAACTTTGAAGACCATGCAGTTGAAAGCCCAAACAACTATGAGAGATCCAAAAGCCCAATCTTAAACGATTGCAAGACACATACATATGGTTTTGGGTATTTATCTATACTATTAATTGGAAAGGACAACTTGAATCCAAACACCCCCAATTTTTTAAAAACATTTCATGAAATATATTCCACTTGCCAAACAGAATTAATGACAGCAAAAAAAAAACAAAAACAAAAACTATCTATATTTATGGAAATCATAATAATCTTTTACCATAAAAAGTAGAAAATTAAATTCAAAATTAAATATATGTAAACATATCTATTTTGAATATACATAAACATATTTAATATTTTAATATACTTTCGAAATTAATAATTTATATAGAATGAAATCTAATAAAACAAAATCATCATATATCTAAAAAAACAAAGATAACATTTTTTTTAGAAAAATCAAAAGATAAAAAAATATGTTAGCATATGAAATAATCAACTAATCAAATTCTTCTTAGTATATATACATAATTGATCATATCATCAAATTTTAAATAATTATATATTTTAAAATATAAATAAAATTTAAATAAATCAATAATTAAATATTTGTTTGCTAAAATCATGCGAATAAACATTCTAGATCACATAAATTTCTTATTTTCACATTAAAAAATGTTCATATTCAAAAAGCAATCTAGCAATTATAGCACAAAAGATATCTACAAAATTTATCATTAATTCAATTAGTTAATGATTTTTTATTTGGTCAAACAGTTATTTAATAATTATTCTAAACTTCTTTTTTCTTATTAATTTCACACAATCATAACAAAATAAATCTTCATCCATGTCAATTTATATATCATTACTATTATCAAATATGAAATAATTGCTTTATCAAATCATAAACTACATGTTGAGATTATAAACATATAGAATTTCTAAGATTAAAACTAAATAACAAGTGGATATATTACATTTAAATGATTTTAACGACTTATTACCAATTTTTAAATAATAAATGGATTATGTTTTTATGATTTAATCTAATTGAAAACAAAAAAATGTCAAAATGGTATGATATAAATGATATAATAAATAAATATCTATAAACATTATCTCACATATACGTACAATTTTAAACTATCATTGAAAAATATGATATATAAGTTTTGGATAACCGGTTGAAAAAAAAAATTGGTAGTTATATTTAACTCTCAAAATCTCAAAATGCTGAACAAAATTCAACTTTGGGACGTATAAATCTCTACTTTTGGACTATTATATAAAATTTTACATATATTAAAATTATATTTAGTTACATGTAAATGGTGTTATTTATTAAAAAAAATATAAACTTATAGGAATGAATATGAGACGGGAACATATATTTCAAAAACAAACATTATCTGGAAAAAACGTGATTAGATATAATTGTTATGAGACACGATCATAAAGTTAAATTCACTTTCAGCTTTCAAATATAAAACTACGAGTACGATACGAGGACATGTAATTTAAATTGTTAAATTTAATTTCCACTTTCCTGTTTATTTCAAATATTTAGAAATATTTAGACATGAAATGACGGGTACAAGAAGATAACGTATACTTCGGATAACAAAACTACAATAAATCCATGTATTAAAAAAATAGAGATACTTAAATCTTTACAAAACAAAAAGGCTAAAACATGAATCGTTGAATTGAAGAAAGTAATGAGAAATAAAGATGAAACTGAAAGATCAATAAAATTAAAAATCGAACAAGGATTGTGTACGCTAGGATTACAGACAGTGCCTTGTGAATGAAAATGGTGGGAGCATGTGACTTAGATTGATAATTAGATTTTTATTAGTTTTATAAAAATAAATATTTAAACGAGGAATACGGGTATCCTGTCTAAATCTTTTACCAAGTTTTTTTATAATAAATATTGCCAAATGATTATGTTTTAAAAAGAAACGATTATGTGACGGAGATTTTATGACAGATAGAAGACGGGACGGGACGGGGCGGGGTGGGACGGGAAGGGGCGGGGTGGGACGGGACGGGTCAGGAGGAGACGGAAAGGGACATGACGGGTTTTCCATTATAAACTACACATAAAACAATTCAAACTAAAGCTAAATCCAAATCCGATTTAACATGTCTAAGCAAACAGTTAGAAATGTTTTGATTAGTTTAAAAAATAAACACGTAATATCACTTATCATTTTCATTTAAATAATTTCAAAATTGTATTATGTAATACAATATCTATATTTTACAACTGTATGTCTATATATATTTTTCAAATAAACTCATATAACAAAATTTTACCAAAATAGCATCTACTTAAAAAATTGTAATTTTGTAAAAATAACCCCGCACGTACGTGCGGGTCCATCACTAGTGTTTCTTAAAATATATTATCATACTTTGGAAAATTACATAAGTCCACTAATTACTACACAAACTAAAGAAACCATGAATAAATTTTAAAAATCCAATTACAAAGGAATATTAAAAAACATTTAAATATAATAATATATGAAGTCTTAGTGGTGATTTCATTTGAAAATGTGTTAACATTAAAACACACTAGGTTCGGACCCGGGCAACAGTGCAAGAGAAATATTTACGTATATATAACCTTTAACTGATTATAATATATATTTAATGTTGATACAATAAAAAGACGGTGAAAATTTAACAGCACGAAAGAATATTTATCGATAAATTATTAAATTTGACTATTTTTGTAGTAAAAGTAGAAATATACGTAAAAATTACATACTTACAATATATTTTTTTGGAAAGACCAATCCGTAGTAATATTCATTTCGTAAAAACAATATTCATAACTCGCTCTACCATTATAACTGTGAGTTTAACAAACTAGCCCCTAAACTACCTAAAATTTACATAGTTTGATATATAATATATTTTATCAATAAAAATTATGTCTCCAAAAAAGATATTTTAATATTTAAAACTCTAATTTATTTATATATTTGAACCTTTTAATTATATGATTTTGAAACTTTTAAAAATTTTAATATGCTCATATAAAAATGGTTTAATATTGGTCATACTGATAGTCATTTAAAATCATTTTCCAAAATATTTAACCGAGTGTTTAGAGTATCATATGTCCGTTTTGAAAAATTCAAATTGCAACATATGCAAGTAATTTTCATTTTTTATTAAACATTTTTATTATAAAGTGTAATATCATAAATTAAAAAATAAGATTAAATAAATGTGAAAGAAGAAGAATAATTTTTTTAACATATTATATTAAATTAGTGAAAGAAATATTAGGAAATCATAAACTTAGTTATGAAAATAATCTAATCCTAAAATTAAATATGGAAAGTATCCGATATATGTATCCAAACCTAATTTAATATCCAATTTTGAAGTATCCAATTGTTAAAATCGGGTCAATTTTTTTAATTTTGACCCGACTCATATTCAATTTTGTACTTCTCTTTTACTAATATAGAGAAGTAAATGTGGTTTTTATTTACTATATGCTTTACGAACAACTAATTAACACAAACCACTTGCAATTGCTACTGTTTAACCGCTACTTTTAATTATGATGAGTAAATATCATCAAACCCAGATAATACCGCGCTTAGGAAACCGTTTACGTTATTTAACAAAATCAAATCGAAATATTTCCCCCGCGCTGTAGCGCGGATCAAAATCTAGTTATTTATTAAAAAAAAAAAGATAGAGAGCTGGATGAGAGCTAGTAGTAGTGGGGTCATTTCGTCACATGTCCAGCAGAGAAAAACGCAGCATCTTTGAATGCCATGATCATGGGATATGGAATACATGGGCTTCCAAAAGAGGCTATCAAACTCTTTGAAGTGATGCAGAGAACTAAATGGGAATGGTTTTTTTAGCTTTGTTGCCGGTGAAAGTTCCTCAGGTGGGATCAACAGACCGGACACAAGTTCAGTTACAACATGATCTAAGTGAAGAGGAGAATATTGGACAGTTAAGGGGACATAGCAAGAAGCTTGCCATTACCTACGGGTTGATTAAAACTTCAGAAGGAACAACTCTCTGAGACTTTACAAGAACCTAAGGGTTTGTGTGGACTGTCACAATGTAGCCAAGTTGATCTCCAAGGCCATAGAAAGGGAAATAGTTGTAACTTGTAAGGGACACCAAAATATTTCATCATTTCAAGAGTGGGTTTTGGTTCTTGTGGATACTACTGGTAAGTAGGTCAAATTGGTCAAAACAGATGAATTAGTAACTCTTAGTAAAATCATTATGATATGTGTTAATTTTCAGACGATACAAACATATCAATGTTATAGTTAAGCTTTTTGTTGTTTGTGTTATAAATATAAACCAAACTGATACATTGTGATACCAAGTGAATTAAACTGATGAAACATTTGAAACCCCCAATTTTCAGTTTTACCATAATAAACTGAAGTTTTAAAATGTGAAACAAGTTTCAACTCTCCCATTGCTCACTACATATATATCAATGTGTATGCACTTTGTATATTCACAAAAACAAAAAGGAAAATTAGCAAGAAACAATGAAGACTTCCATGAGCATGATCATCATCTTCTTTGTGACCTTCTTCGCTATCTCTGCTTCTTCCTTGAACCCTGAGGAAGATTGCATACAGAGAAACATCGACAGGTCACAACCTCCAAGCTTGTCACTCGAACCGCCCAAGACGTCAAAGGTCGAGGCTGTTGTGGACAAGTTGTGCGGAGACATGGCTCGTGCGGTCATGTTCTCTGTGAGGATAACCGGAAAATTCCCATCTCACTATGTTAAGTCGATGTGTAATGTGTTTGGAAATGATGACAAGAAAGTGAAGGAGTATGTTGTGAAGAAATGGTTGGGAGGTTCGAAGCTCGCCTCTAGTTTATCTTGTGCTTTTCCCTGATACATATGTTCTTGTGCAATCTTTTTGTCTTTATAGTTTATGAAAACACCAAAGAAATGGTAGAATCACAAAGTACAAAATTAAAAGATTATGCAAACTAAAACAACAGAATTACTAAATTCAAAAACTTACAAATTGTATGACATAAAAAAGCAATTCCATAAAACTCTATATTTAAAACTAAAAATTGTAAAACCAGAGATTTATTAATTTATGTTAATTCTACTAAGTTTTGGTCCAAAAGGCTAAATTTTGATACCGAATACATAAAGGAATAAAATAGAGGTTGATATGACGACAAAAAAAATAGAGGTTGATATGATTAGGGATTGAGACGCACTTAACTAATATGTTAATCACTCCTCAGGATAAGAACATTCGAACAATTTACCGACACACAAAAACTTTGAAAAGAAAGAAAAAGAAAAAAGGAAAAATGTTGTCGAGATTGTTCAAGGCTGGTGAAAAGGTTTTGTTGAATCTCGTGAACAAGAAAGACCTTCACATGGCGTCAAGGAATCAGGAGAATTCTACTCCCAAAGTGCAAGAGCTTTACAACCTCTGCAAGGACATTTTCACTGGCAAAGCTCCTTCTCCTGCTTCCATGGCTGTCCAAAAACTATGCTCTGTCTTGGGTATTTTTTCTTCTTCTTTTGTCTTTTGCTATGTTTGACTTTCTCGGATTGCGGGTTCTTGCAATTTCGGCTTTAAATTTGATTGAATTTCAATTAGTGATATACAAAGATTTGCTTGAAAGGTATTTAAGTTGGTTTTATTGGATTTGACTAAATGTGGAAACTTTACCATGAGTTTGATTTGTGAATCCCACCAAATCTGGGGCAACAGCAGCAGATTCACAATTTGAAATCTTCAGAGTTGCAAAGGTTGTAACCCTTATGTATACATGATGAAACTTACGGTTTAGGGAAGATAATCTCTTGTGCTATACTGAAAGGGACTATTAGGATCAGTGATTTTTTAAGGTTAGTTGGTGTGACTCAATTATGTTCTGTTTAGAGAAGATATACCATCTTGTTCTGTTGAATGATTGTATATGAGCAGAGGTGTGATTGGTTTTTTGGTCGTTTTTGTGCGCAGACTCGGTTAGTCCTGCAGATGTTGGGCTTGAAGAGGAAGCTCAAGACGATGATCGAGGCTATGGAGTTTCTGGTGTTAGCCGATTTAATAGAGTAGGACGATGGGCACAACCGATAACATTCTTAGACATACATGAATGTGATACTTTTACAGTAAGTGTTTGATTGATACTCAGCCGTATCTTGTGATCAATCAAGATACCTAAACACACAAGTGTTTTACTTGTTCTTCTTCTTCAGATGTGTATTTTCTGCTTCCCAACATCTTCAGTGATTCCATTGCATGACCATCCAGAGATGACTGTGTTTAGCAAAATCCTCTATGGTTCACTTCACGTTAAAGCTTATGATTGGGTTGAACCTCCATGTATTATATCACAGGACAAAGGGGTGCCCGGTTCTCTTCCAGGTTATCATCCTTCTTTGTCATCTCGGGGTAAACTTTGTGAGTGAGATTGATGATTGCTAAGACTTCTTGCACTACTTGTAACAGCAAGGTTGGCAAAATTGGCCGGTGACAAAGTTATAACGCCTCAGTCTGAGATACCAGTGTTGTACCCTAAGACTGGAGGCAATCTCCATTGCTTCACTGCGCTAACTCCATGTGCGGTGCTCGACATTCTCACACCTCCTTACAATGAAAGTGTAGGCAGAAGTTGCAGTTATTACATGGACTATCCGTTTTCCACCTTCGGTATGCAAACTTTCTCCTTCGACTAACTATATTTTCCTTGAGGAGAACATTGGTTTCTCTATTTTGTTTTTTACCTGTGTTTTCTTTTGTCTTGGGATTGATAAATAATAGCATTGGAGAAAGGAATGAAGGTGGAAGGAAAGGAAGACGAATACGCTTGGCTTGTACAGATCGACACACCTGATGATCTTCACATGCGTCCCGGATCATATACCGGTCCAACTATCAGGGTCTAGTTTTTTTGCGGTTGGTTTTGTAGCTAAGTAGAGCTCTTGTATCATTCCAAGATAGTTTATCAATACAATTTTAGATGAAAGATAAACTCTTTGATTGGTCCATGTCTGACCTACACAAATGCAAGCAATTTTGAAAATAAATACACATACAAATCACTGAAATCAGAAATGAGACATGTTAAGTTTGCAAATCAAATCTGTCGCTAATGACTGTGATTGCTTTAAACGGAACAAGAATGTCTCTTTGTTTCAAGTTTCAAAGACGCAGCCGGATAGTCACCAGGATTTTGTATATTGTAGCAGATCTTGATGTTTCAGCACAAACTTATCCATCAGCACACTTTGATCATAATCTTATCCATGAACACACACACAGCTGCGTCAGCACATTTGTGGTCGCCGGAAAGCATTTTTTAATTTGACTAATGCCTAGCACATGTAAACTTTTTAGGGGGAAATATTCAAGTGGGACAAATAAAAAAGGAGACTTCTTCTGAAAAATAAATAAGTAAAATAGAAGAGTGACGAGTAGATAGTGCTGGATCAAAGTTAGCTAGCCGCCACCGCCGCCACGTTGAACCTTCATCTCTCTCTCTCTCTGTGTCCTGCAATGGCGTCTTCGCTTCTGAGAAACCCTAATCTCTTATCAACAACAATCACCACCACTCCTTCTCTTCCCACCTTCTCCTCGAAACCAACACCTTCCTCATTCCGATTCCAACCGTCCCGTCACTGTTCCATCTCTCTCCGAAGCCGAACACTTCGTCTCTCATGTTCAATCTCAGATCCTGCTCCTCTACCACCTCACATCCCTCGCCGTCCCCGTCCCGAATACATCCCCAACCGCATTTCCGATCCCAACTACGTCCGTGTCTTCGATACGACTCTCCGGGACGGTGAGCAGTCTCCAGGCGCTACACTCACTTCTAAGGAAAAGCTAGACATCGCTCGTCAGCTAGCCAAGCTCGGCGTGGACATTATCGAGGCTGGTTTCCCCGCCGCCTCAAAAGATGATTTTGAAGCGGTAAAGACTATAGCTGAAACAATTGGTAACACTGTTGATGAGAATGGCTATGTTCCTGTTATCTGTGGCCTTTCTAGATGCAATAAGAAGGACATTGAGAGGGCTTGGGATGCTGTCAAGTATGCTAAACGTCCTAGGATCCATACTTTCATTGCTACCAGTAATATTCATTTGGAGCATAAACTGAAGAAAACCAAAGCACAAGTCATCGAAATTGCTAGGAGTATGGTTAGATTTGCCAGGAGCTTGGGTTGTGAAGACGTCGAGTTCAGTCCAGAAGATGCAGGAAGGTTAGTGTTTATTTTCGAATCTTGTTTGAGAAGCGAAGATTTGATTCCTTCGCAAAGATTCATCTTTTTCTTTCATTCCTACTGTAAAGATTCTTCTTTTTTTTCTTTTGTTCTTTAGATCCGAGAGAGAGTACTTGTACGAGATTCTTGGTGAAGTGATTAAAGCTGGAGCAACAACACTCAACATACCTGATACCGTTGGTATAACTTTGCCTAGTGAGTTTGGTCAATTAATCGCTGATATAAAAGCCAATACTCCAGGGATTAAAAATGTTATCATCTCAACGCATTGTCAGAATGATCTTGGACTCTCTACGGCCAACACTTTATCTGTATGTCTTTTTCTACTTGGACCAACTTAGCTAAATGTAAGTTGTTGTATATATGTTATGCTAGTGTGTGTGTCTGATAACCTTTTCCAATTCAGGGAGCACATTCAGGTGCGAGACAGGTCGAAGTGACGATCAATGGGATCGGTGAAAGAGCTGGAAACGCTTCACTGGAAGAGGTCAGAGTTTCATTAATTTGTCAAGACATGTGAACATTTCCTGCATTCATTTTTTTCGTAGGCTTGAACTTTGTAAGCGAGAAGATTCTTAGTGTGGGGTAGGAAACAAATATTGTGAGCCAAGACACTTGAGTAGTACATAATAGGACTTTTTCATTTATAGTAGCAGTGAGAAATCTTAAATTATATTTCCTAGTAATATTTTACAAGGCCAAATTGCTAAGTAATGAGTCTTTTGTATAATCTTGGCTTCAATTACATGAAGAAGAACATGTGGAGGTAAAGTTAATACATATTGGCTGAGAAGATGGCTATTTTCCATTATTTGTTACTTGGATATTCTGTCTCAGGAAAGGCGTTATCAGTGTAGGACTTTCAGTTTATATTCTGCTTGAGCTGTAGCTGGATACTTAATCCTTACCTGATGAATGTTGTGTGAGTGTAGGTTGTGATGGCCATAAAATGTCGTGGAGATCATGTATTAGGAGGTCTATTCACTGGAATCGATACTAGGCACATTGTTATGACAAGCAAGATGGTACCACTTCTGAACTTCATTCTTTACATTGTGAAAACAAATACTAATTCTCTTAAGAAGGGGGAAAAGTTTGTTGATTGCCATATAAGGTGTCTCATAAGTGTTGGATTGATTTCTCAGGTTGAAGAGTACACTGGAATGCAGACACAGCCTCATAAGGCTATTGTAGGAGCGAATGCCTTTGCGCATGAAAGTGGTATTCACCAGGTCAGTTCATAAAATCATCTTTATGATATGTTTAATTATTTCTGTGATGAGATTACACTATGAGAAACACGAAAGCTTACCTCATAATCTGTTTTTGTACTGCTATGCAAAGTATAACTTTCCCTGTAGGGTGTAGGGCTGTCGCCTTTCACTCAGTATGTTTATGGTTTCATCCCTCAACATCCATTGCCTGACCATGCACAGGATGAATTAATAAATAATATGCCCAAACTCCTTTGACTTGCTTGTTCACTCTTTCAGCCTTATGCAGAACTCTACTTATACAGACCTTGTTCCTGCTTCACTTAATGACTTTTCATGCTTCTTTTAGGATGGAATGCTGAAACACAAGGGTACGTATGAAATTATATGTCCTGAAGAAATTGGACTTGAACGATCAAATGATGCTGGCATTGTCTTGGGGAAGCTCAGGTATGAAAGTCTTTCTGGCTTAGTCTGTTTTGCCTGTAAACTCCCAATTTTTCTTTGTTTTGTTCAGACAATGCAACTAACCTGTAATTGATGGACAATTCTACATAATTCGGCTGAGACATTGAATATCTTAAGACATTATTAGACATCATTTTTTTTGACAACATAAGTCTTTGCAACTTGAAGTCTAACTGTTGGTTTCTGCTTTTGCTTGGATATAATATTATGCAGTGGGCGTCATGCCCTGAAAGACCGTTTGACTGAGGTACACAGCAATCTTACCAATACACATACGCTGTTTAGCCAATTTTTTGTGAGACACTAATCTTTTCTTTTCTATGTTTCCAGCTTGGTTATGATTTAGATGATGAACAGCTAAGTACAATTTTCTGGCGCTTCAAAACGGTGGCTGAGCAGAAAAAGGTAGTTGGTACTAATTATCTTGTTATGTATTCAAACATCTAGCTCACATTTTCAATTCCAAGTATGAGCTTCACAGCCATTTTTCAAACTTCATAAGACCTTATAATAGTTCAGTTTCCGTAGCTAATTTGAAATGTGAATGCATTTGTACTTTGTTTTGTTAGTTGTGGTGGGTGTAGTGACTTAGGATATGATGAAAGAGGATTGCTCTTCATATTGTTTTAGTGCTCTTGAGGATTCATGTAATGTCTCCTGATCGTATATTTTCCCTTGCTGATCCAGAGAGTTACTGATGCGGACATAATAGCTTTAGTATCTGATGAAGTTTTCCAGCCAGAAGCCGTGTGGAAACTCTTGGACATTCAGGTGAAATTGGGAACAAGCTGTGTTTTATTCTGCTTTTCTTTAGCCAGTCCTCATTTTATTTAAAAGTGGAATGCAGGTAACGTGTGGAACCCTCGGGCTTTCAACAGCAACTGTAAAACTTGCTGACGCTGATGGCAAAGAGCATGTCGCTTGTTCTATGGGAACTGGGCCTGTCGATTCAGCATACAAGGCAGTCAATCTTATTGTAAAGGTACTTTTTTATACAACTGAGGCTCTCATTTACATATAATTCACCTGTCCATTATCGGTTATGTGAAACTTTTTTCCCCCTACAGGAACCAGCGACGCTGCTTGAGTACTCGATGAATGCAGTAACACAAGGCATCGATGCTATCGCAACCACACGAGTCCTCATCCGCGGAAGCAACAAATACTCATCTACAAACGCAATAACCGGTGAGGAAGTTCTAAGGACCTTTAGGTAAAGTCTTCACTCCCCATATCTCATTCAAACCGGACCGATATAGCCGCATTTTTTTGTTACTCTTGCTCGAGTAGTTGTTTTATAACGCAGAATGGGCTATCTTGTGTTTGGCAGTGGAACGGGATCAGAAATAGATATTGTGGTGTCAAGCGTCAAAGCTTATGTCGGAGCTTTGAACAAAATGCTGGACTTTAAAGAAAACGCCCCCACAAAAGTTCCTTCTCAAAAAAGCAGAGTCCCTGCCTGAATAAAAACCCTTTCCGGCAAATCTTGAAAGTCAAAAGACAAAAAAGAAGTTAGGTTATTTTCAGAGTTTGCTTGTTGTTTCTCAAAGTTGCATGTCAAAAATGTACAATGTATATCGTTATGTAACTTAAATTTCTATATTTAGAAATGATGGTTTTAGAGTCAACCAACCGTTAAAGCAATTTTAACCTGTTCCAAAAAGCTGTCCTGTATACTAAACTAAGGTTTCAAAAACCCAAAAACACCTGATACCTCTCTGTTCATGATTCTTTGTCTCTTTTTTGCAATCCCTTCATATAGCACCATGACTTGAAACAGAAATTTCCTCCACCGGAGTCTTTTTTAGATTTTTGAATCCGATAAAACAGGAAAAGAAGAAAATGTCAGAGCTACGAACTGGGTTCCTAACAATGGCGACCATAATCCTCATATGCATAGGCTTAACTATGACGGGAACAGGTTTGTATTATAGGAAAACAGTCTCACAATGTATCCGAGAGACGGATGGCAGTTTCGTCGTCGTTGGTTTGCTCTTGTTGATGATTCCTCAGTTTGCTCTTTACGCAATCTGCTTTCGCTCCAAACGTATGTTCACAATTTACATATATGCAATGATCTTCGTTTGCATTGTCCTTGGTGGCTATTCTTTAAAGTGTTTCATCTACAATACAACCTTTGGAATCGCCAAGAACCCGGCCGAGGATAAGCGAACCGCCAAGCAATTGGTAGGCCGGCTGGTCCCTGCAAGTAAACTTGCAAAAGTCACGGACTGCATCATTCACAACCATGATTGTAACTACAATGCTAGCCTAAACAGCAATGTTTGGGTAAAGTACTTTTAAGTCATCTCATCTCATTCATTCGAGTATATATATATATATGAAGATGAATCTCTAATAATGATGATGATGAAAAACACATGCAGAAGTTTTGCTGCGCACAACCAAGAGGGTGTGGAGAAAGGACAAAATTTTCGAAGCCAGGAGAGTGGAGTTGGAAACATCAACACGTAGAGAACGATGTTCCTGAAGGGTGTTCATACGAATACTGTCTGAGTTGCAGAGGTTGCCAGCTCAGCATCTTAAAGGCCATAGTGCATCAATGGAAATATTTCTCCATGTTCTCTTATCCTTCACTCTTTCTCGTCTGTCTCAGCCTCGCCATTGCCAAGTCCGTTTTTGATACTTTCAATGAACCCGATGATTATCGAGGCTATTATACTTGAGTCTTTCATCATTTTCCTTACATCAAATGTACATGACAGACTATTCTAGTTTCTTTCAATATATATTGATGGTTTCGAGCAGAATGTGTAAATCCAATTATATCTAATTCGCGAGATATGTTAGGAGCTTGAACAAAGATGGGTTTAATATCAGAAGCTATAACCACGAACAAAAATGGCTTAAATGATATATGCATTATTATTTGAATTTCCCCAACATGCTCGGATTTAAGAAAATTCAGGGTTTAAAATAGTGTCTTAAGTGACGTTGCAATATGACAAAGTCAAAATCTAATATTACGAGTCGTCTAAAATAAAGGGATCTTATTAACCCTCACACGTTTTTTAAACTCCTCCAGTGGCATAAACTAGTAAAATAATTTAAAACACTAAAACCAATTATGGCTAAATAATCTCCCCCACTCACTACCCCCAGAAATAAAACTAACCGTTCCCTCTTTCCCCATTAACCACGACTCCACCACACTTAAAACACACACACACGAAAACGTTACAAAACATAGTTATCAAGTTCAAACCACAAGAAACCTCTCTCTATCTCTATAAATTCTGGTCTGGTTATTCAAGTTCATCCATCGAGAGAAAAACAAAAAGATTCCAAAAAAATGTTTCGAGTGAGTAATTTCGTGGTGGGTCTAGCCAACACATTGGTGATGTTAGTGAGCGTATCGGCCATTGGTTATTCGATTTACATGTTCGTTCACCAAGGCGTGACCGATTGCGAATCAGCGATTCGGGCACCACTTCTCACGACCGGATGCATCCTCTTCGTGGTGTCGCTGATAGGGGTGATAGGATCTTGTTTCAAGGAAAACTTCGCAATGGTGTCCTACTTGATCATACTGTTTATGGGCATTGCAGCGTTGATGGTATTCTCCATATTTCTCTTCTTTGTGACGAACAAAGGAGCCGGCCATGTGGTCTCCGGGAGAGGGTATAGAGAGTACCGGACGGTTGATTTCTCGACTTGGCTTAACGGGTTCGTTGGTGGGAAGAGATGGGTTGGGATAAGGTCTTGTTTGGCTCAGGCTAGTGTTTGTGATGATTTGAGTGATGGTCGCGTTAGTCAGATCGCTGATGCCTTCTATCACAAGAACTTGTCTCCTATCCAGGTTTTTATTTTTAGAATTATTTATCAATTTTTAGAATGAATAAATTTCATCATTGAGTTTATATATATATATATATATATAGTTAAAGTTAAAAAAAAAAAGCAAGGTAAGTTTAGACCAGTTAATGTTTCGTTTCAACGTTTCTAATTGGTTACGTTTATACAATGGTTGTGTTTGAGCAGTCAGGTTGTTGTAAGCCGCCATCGGATTGCAACTTCGAGTTCAGAAACGCCACGATGTGGATGCCGCCGAAGAAAAACGAAACGGCCAATGAGAACGGAGACTGCGATGCATGGAGCAACGTGCAGACGGAGTTGTGTTACAATTGCAACGCATGCAAAGCGGGAGTGTTAGCGAACATAAGAGAGAAGTGGAGGAACCTTCTGGTCTTCAACGTTTGTCTCCTCATCCTGCTCATCATCGTCTATTCCTGCGGTGTCTGTGCTCGTCGTAACAATCGGACGGCTAAGAAAACCGATTGTGCCTGATCATCATCATCATCTATATTTTAGTTTCTTGTGTGTGTTTTCTTAGTTTGTTTGTTTTTTCTCAAGTAATCTCTCTTTTTGCTTCTTAGGACAATGTCACGTCTGTTTCACAACAATGAATTTAATTATCACATTTCACTTGTCGTACCACTAATTATTATCTTTGATTGTTTTAATTTTTTCTCATAATGATGCACAATGGCATGACATTGATTTGTCTCGCAACAATTAAATGGTTTTTTTAACAACCAAAAAATATATATATCATTATGAATTCATCACATTTCAATAGCCGTACCCAAACATTTACAGAAATAAATACGTGGTCTTTTATCTATTTTTATCAGCAACCATTAACAAACCCACAAAAACGAAAACAAACAAAACTTTTAACACATACAAAAGTTTAGAATTTTGATGCTACATTCTCTAAAAGAAACAGAAAAATCAATCTCCTTTTCATAGATCATCATCACCTCTTAATTATCTTATCGATCTCTCTCGTCGACGATATTTGATTAAATCGATTCTGATTTGGATACCAAACGAAGAAGAAAAATGGAGGGTCAGATAAGACAGCTAAAAGACATTTTCGACCGGTTCGACATGGACGCAGACGGAAGCTTGACAATTTTAGAACTCGCTGCGCTTCTCCGGTCACTTGGCCTCAAACCTTCTGGCGACCAAATCCACGTTTTGTTAGCTAGCATGGACGCAAACGGCAACGGTTTTGTCGAATTCGATGAGCTTGTTGGTACAATTCTTCCTGATCTGAACGAAGAGATCCTAATCAATTCCGAACAACTACTAGACATTTTCAAATCATTCGATAGAGACGGTAATGGGTTCATCAGCGCAGCAGAGCTTGCTGGAGCGATGGCCAAGATGGGCCAACCATTGACGTATAAAGAACTAACGGAGATGATCAAAGAAGCAGATACAAATGGAGATGGTGTCATAAGTTTTGGTGAATTTGCTTCCATTATGGCTAAATCTGCTGTTGATTATTTTGGATTAAAAATTAATTCATGATCGTTTAAATCCTTTTTGCTTTTCTTCAACATTTTTTTCTCTCTCCAAAATCGTATTCGTAAAAAATGTCTTAAAGCTAGATTGATCGAAAATTTGATATATAGTTCAGAGAAAATAGTGTCTTAAAGATCCAAGGACGATTAAAGAGGGAAAAACTCACGGAAACAGATATTCTTGAAATTTGAGAAACAATATGAAATCTAGAAAACAAGCTCATGTGGTTTCATTCCTTGACTCAATGAGAACCTGGCTCCAAGGTAAATCTTGAGCTCTGGGACTGCTTCAATGGACTTGATCACAGCAGCATCAACGGTTTTCTGGTCTTCTTTCTTCTCTTTTGGGATCTCTTTCTTCTCCTGAAGAAGAAACAATCGATGTCAATTAGATAAAGGAAATACATAATCCATTTTCTGGTTAAACTAAATGAACAAGATGTTTGTTTGTATACATACTTCTTTCTCTCCTTCGAAGAACTCGCCTTCTGTCTTCTTCTTCTTCTTCTCAGCAACCTTTCCAAAATACTTGTCATCGAATTTCTCAGTGTTGACTCCAGAAATGTCAACCTTTGTGGAGGTTCCAATCACATAGGCTTGGTTAACCCGTCTCAATGGAACACCGTTGATCTTGAATGGTCCTGAAATGAGGAAAATCAACAAACATCAACAAAGTTTCCAAATTGGACAACAACCAAAACAATGGAGCCAACACTATACTAGAGATAAGAACTCACCTGTAACAAGAAGCAAACCAGAAGAAAGTTGCTTGAGGAAGACAACTCTCTTGCCCTTGAACCTACCAGCAAGGATGATCAACACAGTCCCTGGAGTGATGCTGGCTCTGCGATACATACATATGCATAACCAGATTAGTATTTGATAACATACATAAATCAAAGTGTAACAGACCATACAGTATCATATGCCAGAAGTAATGTGCAAATCTCCATCCCAATGCCAGAAGTAAAGTATCATTTCAACACATCCTAGAAGCTTTAACGATCTCTCCTATATTCCCAACAGATCCTATAATACCATTCTAACACGGAATCAAACGCACAGAAACATCATTTGGCTAGAAATTTAAAAAAAAAACAATCTATGAAGACATGAAATGGAGTATTACTTTAGCTTGGTAGGCTTGGGCTTGCGTCTGTTAGCAAGTGGCTTCTTAACGTCTTCCGCTGGATAAAACTTGGCAGGCTTCTCCACCGGAGCATCGACCTTAGACTTAGCGTCGTGACGGGGGAAAGCACCGCCGTTTTTGGCCTTGATAGCCCACAGACCTCTCTTGTGGTACATCTGAGACCTTGAGTATTTGCCGACACCCCTGACTAGGTCAGGGTTGCGGTTAACCTTCGGAGTTCTCTGCTTCGCCGCCGGCATCTTTTCTTCTTCTGTGTGACAAAGTCTCTCAGTGGCGTAAACCCTAGTTGAGAGTCAGCAGCTTTTAAATAGAAGGACGATACCAGCAAAAATAAAACCTAATGGGCCTTTTATGGGTTCGAAACTATAATGGGCCTTATTATGTGTTTCTAAGTTCATAGGTAGCATGCAGGCAAAAATAATTCCGTAAAACATATCTTTTGTTAATCATGCTCATGTTTTACAAGGGAAATGAAACAAAGTGGTTCATGGATACCTTTTAGTGCATATGCAATTTGGTTGTAACTTATAACTTTAAAGAAGACACAATACAGAACACACCAAACATAAGCATAGGTAAACTAAATTTGATAAATTAGTAAAAAAATAAAAATAATTGTGTTATGGTCATTCTTACAGAATATAGTATAGATGTTAGCAAACCATGGAAACAAAACAATGGAGAAAACAGACCATACAAAATGTAATAAAGAAACATCTCGAATAAGTCTTCAAACTTGTTAATGCTTCATGTGTGGACGAGCAAACCCCGGCTGCACCAACCAAACAACACATATTAAAATGTATGCACACTATCTTGCTGGACAACTTCAATGTTTTAGAGTGTTTTGATTATAGCATCACTGTAGTTATATTTATAATTACCTGAAGCAGTTTTGAAGGAGCTTCCTGATGAACAGGACCATGGCTTCTTGTTTTCCTTCTATCCAACGCAGGACTAGTATTAGCTACGGTTATGTCCCAAAAGCTTCTCTTTTTAGCTGCAGCAGCTGGAGATGCAAACCGATGGCTCGGGCTTTTTAGCTCCTTCTCCTTCTCCTTTGGTCTCAAGCTCCCTCTTGTGACAATCCTTCTTGTTTCTTTGCCTCTTTCTGGTGTTTTCTCGCTCTTTCTACTACAAAGATCTTTCATTAATTCTTCTCTTTGCTTCTTCATCTGCAATCCATGTTCCCTCTTCATTCTCTCCATCTCCATCTTCAATGCCTTAACAGTCAGCTGAAGTTCCTTCACAGCTTCTTCTGCTTTTGTCCTTTTGGATGATTCTGGTGTGAAACATGTCCCTGATAACAAAGAGTGCCTTGGTTTCTTCTTCTGCTGAGCTGTTAGCGCAGATGGTGGAGTCATTAGAGATGAGATTGATGGAGGTGTCAGAGAAATGTTGTTGTTGTTATTAGCAGCGGCCAAGTTCTCTGCTTGAAGAGTCAAAAGCTTTTGCTGCTGCTTTGCAAGCTGGACACGCAAATCACGGTTCTCTTTCTGAAGCTCTAACAAGAGCTTTGCCTGATCAGGCCCTTCTTCTTCACCCACTTGAACCATTTCTTCATTTACTTCAGATTGCTTCAGGCGAATCTCCTTGGCTCGATCAGCCCAATGGAGGGTGTTTTGTGTTTCACCAAAAGATTGACTGCTTGGACTTATATTAGCAATCATCACAGTGTTACATGAGCCGCCTAGTGAGTCTTTGAGCAGTTGTGTGAGCTTAGAGTTTCGGAAAGGAATATGTTTCTTGCCTTCCACAAGCGCATTAATGCAACTACTTAATGCAAGAAGTGATCTGTTTATGTTTGCTCCTTCCAGCGATCTAAGTGTCCTTTGATCAGTTGCTAGCGCTCTTTCAGAACCCGCAAGATCAATGAGAGATAGCTTCCCTACCCGGCTGATGATATTCATAGAAGCATCTCTAGTCTTATACTCCACTATGACCTAACGAACAGCAACAAAATATCAACTTAAGACATTCCAGGTCTCAAAATTAATGATACACTATTGATTTGACGCGATATGAAAGGATGAAAATTCTAACCTGAAGGATAGCGTGAGAGCGAGAAGATGTTTCATTGCAACGCGTTGGCTCGGTAGTTCTGTTTTGATTACCCCTTTGGAGCAGAGCCATTACCTGCAATAAATCACCATAAACCAATCTTATAATTTAGCTTTTTATTCATTATCACTCAAAGTGGAAAATGTATAGATTAGAAGTAGAAACCTCATCTGTTGAATAAGCTCTATATTGTGTGAGACCAGCAGCCACAGTTCCCTGATTTCAACCACATTCAGAAAAAAGCAAATGAGTGAGACCAATGTGTTCTTATGTAAAGCTAAAAGGGACAAAAAATAATAGTCAGTTTTATGTATACCTGCTTATCTTCGCGGAGAATGAGAGGTCTACCAGGTGAAAGCAAATCTCGAACAGTTTCATTGTAAACCTCAAGATAAGAAAGATGAACAAGATGGTTCCCATCTAAGCTTCTCTGTCTAACTTTAGCAAACAAATCTTTGATTGCTAAAACCATTACACCTGGATTCTCCATAGTCCCTAGCATCGTATAAGTCTTGCCTGCTCCTGTGGCACCGTAGCAGAAAACTGAACCGTTTCTTCCTTCAAGAACTGCTCCAACAAGATCTCCTGTTCTGAAAAAATCAAAGGGGAAAACATCTAAAAACTTGCAGCATTTTGATGCTAATGAAAGAAATCATCATTCAAGACAGAGATGATTAAATACACTTACGTGGTGGAATAAACTTCTTGTTGTGTTGTGGTTTCAGGAAAAGAAGAATCAAAAGTGAAATGACGAACACGGAGCCTCTTAAGCCTAAGGTAATCGTTCTCATTCGTGAACTCCGTCAGATAAACATCTCTTTTATTCAAAATCTTGACACAACATCTTGAACCATTCTCTTTTTCCTTTTTCCCCATTGGTCTAAGCCTAACAAACACCAGAATCCGGCTCACAGAAGCATCCATTTTCTCACCCTTTTCAGCGTCCGTGACGTTTCTAGCTCCATTTCCCATTGAAAGCTTCCTAATCACACCACTAGGCTTAACCGGAACCGAATTAACCCCAAAAATCCGATCTGCTTCGACTACATTGTTCTCTTTGGTAGCTTCATCAACAAATCTAGAAACTTTACCGTCTTGGCGATGAAAAATTTCTCCTTTCTTGGAGGAATCAGCTGGTAGCTGAGTCTTAAACCTCAGATCTTCAGGTTTAGGAGACTGATTAGGGTTCCTGAGAGAAAAAGAGGCTCTCTTTTGCTGCTCGTACAAGAGAGTCAAAGCTTTCATCTTCTCCTTTAACCCTTGATGTGGATTTCTCAACGGAAGATTCAGATTTGTGCTTTCTTGCTCATTTGGCTCCTGTTTCATCACCTTAGATCGAGTCGATACCGGCATTTTTCTCCTCTCTCTTTTTTTTTTCCTCCAGAATCTAAGATCTTCTCACCATCCAAATAACAAAACCCCCCCAGGCAAGATCTTCTGTGTTACGACTGATCAAACGCCGTTGATTGGACTGAAGAAGGTGCGTTGGTCAAAATGAAAGCTTTGGGAGTGTGTATAGTAGATTGATTAATTGCTATTTTCAGTCTTTGGTTTTTGGATTAGGAAACGCAAATTAAGAAACAATTCAAGGAGCTTTTTGAAAATTCTTTGTAACGGTCATAAAATTGCTTTGTCAGCCCAGTGTTTGAGCTTTGAGTGGTCCACGTAAATATTCTTTATAATAAGTGACATTATTGCTTTTTCAATATATTTTTTATTCACTATTTCGATTCCTTAATTTCCGTTTTGATTTCGAGAATTGAGTTTTAGATTCGACATTTACTATATTGGTTTGTTTCTATTTTTTTTAAATATAAAACCAAAAAGAAAAAGAAAATATGTGAGTAGTAATTAGCATATCATATGTGACATATCTTTTATATCATATGAATGTCATATGAAATGTTTTTATTATGTTAAGACACAAGAACAATATCTTATGGTAATGAAATTACTTTAATGTTTACAAAAAAAAAAAAATGAAAGCCGAAACAAAACGAGACCCGAGCCATTCGCTGGAGTCATTTTAGCTGAGCCTCAGAAAACTCTCAATTACCAAAACCAGCCGAGCGATTGAGCCAAGCTTCTGTGCCCTAGCTCCTCTCCCTCCGTCAAATTCGCCGACCAAATCAACGGATCTGCCGTCGTAACCAATCCCTCAGATCGGCGAGCTTCCGACTCAAACCTCATATCCCTTATATCGGCTCAGATCTCTCTCTCTCTCTCTCTCTCTCTGGCTCAGAGATCCAGCGCCGATCCTCCTCCTCCCTCCTCTCTGTTGTGGCGGCTGTTTCTGCTTTCCCTCCAAAATAAAATAAATAACTCTTCCCTCTCCCGCAACGGTTTTTGTTTATTTTTCCTTCGTTTTAGCGATGGAGTGGAATGTAAACAATGCATTCAAAACCTACAAAGGTAAATAAATTCAAAACTCTGATAATGCCTTCATAGATAGAGCTTATTGTTTTGTGATAAAAGTATGGAACTTGCTTGCTTTCATTTGTGGTCTTAGACTCTTAGTGTTTGTATTCGTTTATTAACTGAGACAACAACAACTACTGTTGTTGTTGTTTGCTGCTACTTGATGTAGAAATGGAACCAAAAGCTATGATGGATATGACACTTGTTCCACACTCTGACCCCATTGACATTGGATTAGCCTCTTCTGATAAAGCAAGTACTGCCCCCCCTAAACGGAAGAAGACTATGACATCTGTCTATCTTAAATACTTTGAGACCGCACCAGACAGCAAAACCCGGAAATGCAAATTCTGTGGACAAAGCTATTCCATTGCAACTGCCACTGGTATTTTTTCTATCTTTGTTATTTTCAACCTTCTATATTGTAGTGTAGCAATAGCAAAACAAACAAAAAGTGATTTATTCTTAAGCACTATGAGAAGAAAATCTTGACGCCTTTCAATAACTTGGGTTCTGTTTTTTCATGTTTTAAGGAAACCTTGGAAGGCATCTGGCTAATCGACATCCAGGCTATGATAAGGCAACAGATATTGTCACCAGCTCATCTGTACCACAGACACCACCAGTTGTTGTGAAACCTTCACAATCTCAGTCGAAATCCCTGCAACTCGATTATGATCATCTTAACTGGTTAGTTCTCAAGTGGCTCGCTTTGTCCTCGCTTCCTCCCTCTACTGTAGACGAAACATGGTTGGGAAACTCCCTCAAGTTTCTTAACCCAGCCGTCCAATTATGGCCGGCTAAAAAATATAAAGCCATACTTCATGAGGTTTTCAGAAGTATGCGGGAAGATGTGAAGACATCCTTGGAGCATATCCAATCCAAAGTTTCTGTCACTTTATGTTTTTGGAGTTCATATCAAAACATTTTTTATATGAGCGTAACTGGCCAATGGATAGACGAAAATTGGTCTTCTCATAGATTGTTGCTTGACATATGTCGGATTCCCTATCCCTCTGGGGTTTCTGAGATCTATAGCTCCCTTTTGAAAGTCCTTAAGATATACGCCATTGACGACAGGGTTCTATGTTGTACACATGACAACAGTCAAAACGCTATTCACGCTTGTCATAGCCTGAAGGAGTACTTGGATGGTCAAAAGGTCTTGCCTTTCTGCTACATTCCCTGTGCTGCTCAAACTCTGAATGAAATTATTGATGAGGGTTTAGCAACTATAAAGCCCATAATCTCAAAGGTCAGAGAATTCACACAGGAGTTAAACGGATCGATTGAGCTATCAGATGATTTCGTTCAGTTGACAACAGCTTATCAAGAAGGCGACTGGAAACTTCCCATCGATGCTTCATCTCGTTGGAGTGGCAATTACCAGATGGTCAACATCTTGTGCAAGGTAAGATTTCTATAACTTTGACCTGGAAACCATCAAGCTCTGAGATATTTGTATGTGATGTCTTATTAGTTTATAATATATTGGTGCAGGCTGGCAAGTCCCTAGACTCTGTGATTAGGAAAACCGAGAATGGTCTAGAGAACAGAATGATATTGACTTCTGCAGAGAAGAACGCGGTGACTATTGTCCACAATTACTTGGATTTGGATTCATTCCACAAGACCACTCAAGATATGTGCACGAACAAGGATCTCACGGTTGGTCTGGCACTGCTCTTTATGGATAACATATCTGAGATGATCACGACTTGCCAGAAATCATGCCACAATCCAGACTGGCTAAGAACTTGTGCTGAAAGCATGGCCCAGAAGGCCAGAAGTTACAACACCCAAGTGTGCAACGTATTCACTTACATTACAGCCATTCTTGACCCACGGATTAAAACAGAGTACATTCCAGAGACGATAAATCTTGACAGCTATATAGATGAAGCAAGAACTCATTTTATTCGTAATTATGCCTCCTCTCATTTCACATCTTCCATGACTAGCGGGTACCGTCCTCAGGACATTGATGAAGGAGGAGGAGGGAATATCTCATTTGCAGAGGAAATCGCTAGAAGGAAAAGAAGAGGAAGTATGAGCAACAATGTAGTTGATGAACTAACTCAGTACTTATCAGAGTCTATAGTCCCGATGCAAACCGATGTGTTGGATTGGTGGAAGGTAAACAGCGGAAGATACCCGCGACTTTCTAACATGGCTCGGGATTTCCTTGCGGTTCAGGCGACTTCCGCTGCCCCGGAAGAGATATTCTGCGGTAAAGGTGAAGAGATTGATAAGCAAAAGTATTGCATGCCTCAAGATAGCACACAGTCTGTTCTTTGTATCAGATCATGGATTGAAGCTGGCATGAAACTGAAGTACAAGTCTGATGAGATTGACTATGAACGGCTAATGGAGTTTGCTTCCACCGTGGCCGGGGATAATACTGCCGGAGGTTTAGACAAGAATCAGCGTAGGTGAGATCTTATTTAGTGTTTGTACTGAAGAAACTATAATAATTTAGGAGCATGAGTTGTATGTAATTTTGCATAGTGGTGATTTGTAAAGACCATTTGCGTTAAGAGTTGGTATGATGAAAACCAATCTGGTTAACTTTCTTAATTTAACTGTATTCTCCTCTCGTATCATTGTTGTTAGGGAAAAGGAAAATTCAAAAAATAAATGGGACAAAAGCTACTCTAAAAAAATTCACAGGAAAGCAAAAAGCACAATATTTGACTAATTTAATTGATGGGTATTTTTTTTTTTTGTCGCAAGATTTGAAAAGTGGAAATGAATCGTACGAAATAAGAAAATACTTTTATCTATCTTCTTGGTCCGTAGATTTTGTCTTCTTGGCATGATCGATTGCGATAATGTCAAAGTCTAGTGTTTGAGTGACCAAGTTGTTGCTTAGTTTATTAATCTATACATAAATTCAAATACGACTACTTTTTTGTAATACTTAGCTACCTTCCTCGAATTTACAAATTCGTGTTGTGTTAAGAGTTTTGTCGTCTAATGATTCCCTAAGCATATTTGAATTTTGAGAGAGATCACAAAAAAAAAAAAAAAAAAAAAGATTAAGAGCTCTTGTGAGTCGTACTTATTGGAATAGTCTCGCAGCACTCCGACTTTTACAGTTGAATTCATTCCGACATGGCCACGTACTTACTACGTCCCTTTTGTGGTTTTTCATTTCGATATGCGTAGAACCTTTTTTAACTCTTTCGATAAATTCAATTTTAATTATATCTTAAATCTGTTGCCCCATTTCGATGATTCTTTTTTTGGTTTTACTACTCATTGTAAATTAAATAAAGAAAGAAGTCGACCAAGAAAAAAAAATTATATGATATATTATTGTTTCTTATACTTGGACCGACCTATTCCGGTCTACAATTTTTGTTTTTTTTTTTTTTTTATATATATGGGTCAAGAATTGGGTCAATACAAAAGAAAATTCAACCTGGCTATATAAATTTAATTGGTGTACCAGATCTGCCGGCGCCGTAATATAATTCTTTTATTCACTTTAGATTTTGTGTATGTTGTCCACGAAATAATTCATATTTTCGCATGCAAAATGTACTCCCTCAGTTTATTTGGAATATAGATCTTGATTTGCATATATTAGCACTTATAGATTTCGAAAATAAGTCGGTAATTAGCTACACAGGCACTTTAATTTTATGTTACACTAATACTTTTTTTTCATACTTTTGTTTTTGGCTTAGCAACCATTGATATTCGTTATTTATGCTCCCCTGTTTTATAATTTGAGTTGTGGCGGTTTTGTGCATGGGAATATATAGTATATAGCTTTCTTCATACTAGTCTAGTACATTATTTGTTGATAACTAAAAATAATACTTATGAATATTATTTGTCTTCATACTAGTCTAGTACATTATTTGTTGGTAACTAAAAATAATACTTATTGATATTATAATTGTCTTACGAACGATCAGACCTCTATCTCAAAACTTCCACTGAAAAAGTTAGCGGTTTCATGAAATAATCAGATCTTTTTTTTATAATGTATAGGGAATCAAAATAAGCCACGTGTCAATCACCTTGAAACGATCCAGGATGCAGTCACACGTACAGCTAGCCACAAGCAAGCATAAATATAGATGGTGGCTCGTCCTCAAAGTTTCTCACTTTGCAAAGTGTACGTGTGATACAAACCAATCTTTTGTTTTTTTTTGTTCTGAGAGAAAAGATTCTCTCTATTTCTGTATCTCTCCTTGTGGTAAGAAAACAGAGCTAGCCTAGAGATCATCTCTCTTATAATATATATATATCTCTCCGCGGTGTTCTTGTCGTAGTTCAATGTTAAAACGATCTCGAGTTTCCCAAAAGAACAAGATGTCTATTCGAAAAATCTATAGATGTCTCAACTCTTTAATCAAAAGATCATGTGCTCAATCTTTATGATCATACGTACGCTCCATTTCACACTTTGTTACAACTCTCAGGTTTTCAATTTTTCGTCTTTCTTCTCTGTTTCACTTGAGAACGTCCTTTGAGTACTCGATCGAGAAAGCCAAGTTTCTTTCAAGAATCAAGAATACGAAGAATTAACCAAGAATATGGTGCGAACGCCGTGTTGCAAAGCTGAACTAGGGTTAAAGAAAGGAGCTTGGACTCCCGAGGAAGATCAGAAGCTTCTCTCTTACCTTAACCGTCACGGTGAAGGTGGATGGCGAACACTCCCCGAAAAAGCTGGTACGTACTAACATTTTTTTATTTTATTACTTTTATTCCGTCATATTTGAATATTCAAATGTTGGACCTTTTCTTGATATTATTGATCTATTGTTAGACATTTGAATATTTATTTTTTATTATTGGATATAGGACTCAAGAGATGCGGCAAAAGCTGCCGACTGAGATGGGCCAATTATCTGAGACCTGACATCAAAAGAGGAGAGTTCACTGATGACGAAGAACGTTCTATCATCTCTCTTCACGCCCTTCATGGCAACAAGTTAGTCTCTATCTCTCTCTAGTCTCTACTGTATATGTATACTTCCCGATTCTTTAGTGTTATTTGTTTTTCTAAATCATCATAAGAAAATATATCCTAAACTTAAACGCAAATTATATATAAATCTTCACGCTTGAAATTTCATATTTTATGGTTTTTGCAATAGCTAATTAATATTGTAATCTTATGGTGTTAATTAATCAGATGGTCTGCTATAGCTCGCGGGTTACCAGGAAGAACGGATAACGAGATCAAGAACTACTGGAACACTCATATCAAAAAACGTTTGATCAAGAAAGGTATCGATCCGGTTACACACAAGGACTTAAACGCCGGCACCGACAAATCAGAAAACCACCCGGATGAACAAAACGTTAATCAGACAAGTAGTGATGACGATGTTCTTGATAACGAGAAGCCGAAGAAGAACAACAAGAATCGTAGATTGCCATCGGCTAGGTTCTTGAACAGAGTTGCTAATAGGTTCGGAAAGAGAATCAATCACAGTGTTCTGTCCGAGATCATCGGAAGTGGTGGTCCACTTGCTTCTTGTCACACTACTACTACTACTACTACCACAAGTGTTTCCGTTGACTCCGAACAAGATAAGTCAACGAGCTCCTCCTTCACACCAACCTCGAATCTTCTCTGCCAGGCAGCCGTTAATGCAACAACTCCTGTTTCATCGTACTTTGACGTTGATGGTTACGTTAATCCGACGTCGTCTTCGTCAACGTTCTCCGATTCCTCCGTTAACAATCCTCCAATGTACTGTGATAATTTCGTTGGTAATAACAATATTGACGATGAGGATACTATCGGGTTCTCGACATTTCTGAATGATGAAGATTTCATGATCTTGGAGGAGTCTTGTGTTGAGAACACTGCGTTCATGAAAGAAATTACGAGGTTTCTTCACGAGGACGAACGTGATGTCGTTGAGGTCACGCCGGTCTATGAACATGAACGTCAAGACATTTATGACGAGATTGATAAATATTTTTCCTGAGTGCTTGATCGGTGAATCCCACGTGATCATGTGATATATATACATATATATATATACCATGTCGATATGGATATGTTCTTTTTATAAAGAGATGCCGATGGATATATTACCTTGATGATGACGATAATAATAAATAATGACGATAATAATACTAATGGCGATGATGATAAACCATGCATGTAGCTTGTATTCCCATATGTTATATGTACATATATGCGTGTGTGTGGGTTTTATGTTTTTTTTTTTTCTTCTTATTTATAAGTCTAACCTTGTAATGAATAAATTATTTTCAAGTGCTATGTAAGTGGTATCCATTGTTGTAACACTCGGTAACTCTTTGTTTGATATAATTTAGAAAGAAGAAAAACAAAGTATAACCTCAAGTGTTGGCAATGGATGATAAATGGTGGTATAATAATAAGATTAACGAGATTTTTAACGTTTACCAAATTAATCAATACTGCGAAAACAAAGTAATTTAGTAATTTATCGTGTTAATTATCAGAAATTTGTGTATCTATCTGAATATGAGATTTGCATTATTTTGACAAATCATTAGCTGCTGCTACTACATCGTACTACTACTAAATTTTTAATGCGATGTATGTTCCTGAAGAACTTTGGTGGCTTATGTCATGAGTGAAGAGCTTAATGGATAGAGTAGGTTGATAAATAATTATTAATTATCTTCAACTAAACTTTTTAAAATGTATCTACGTAGATGTTTTTTTGTTTAACGAGTTAAGTTATTATAACTTAAGTATGTCATTCTCATAAGTTACTATAATTTAATTACGTATGTCACTCTCATAAGTTATTGTAACTTTAGTATGTCATTCTCTAGTGTATAGAAACTTCACCTAAATTAAAAAAATGTATGTATATCATTATAACTTAAAGTATGTCATTATCTAGTGTATGTAAACTTCACCCTATCAGTATTCGAATAATCAGCTATGAGACCGACGTAAAGCAAGTGAGAGGATCATTCTTTCAATGTTCCGATCAAGGACTAAAGATAAGAAGTGCATTATCATTCCAAACCTTTTGAAAGCACCATACTGCAGAAAATAAAAAAGCAAATTAAAGCTGAGACATGTTTAACACAAATAATATTTCGATAAAAGTTAGTTGATATTTAAATATATCGCTTTCTCTGTACAAATAAAGTGATAAGCAACACTAAATTAGAAGTTGTATTTTCAGGAACGACTTATGCAAATTTAAGTTTTGGTGAGAAAAATTAAAAATGAATAACTGTAAATTAAACTACTAACTTTTGTTGTAAGGCAACGGTATAAGTATAAAGAGGTTATACATTACGTTTTGTAATGTAGTTGAGATTATAGATACTCTTACCAATATCCTGAATTTAGGCAAAGTATGAGAATTGGCTAGGGTTGCTTCCACGAATGAACAGTAAATGAATATATTGTAGAAGTTTCCTAACAAATGAAATAAATAAAGTTGTACATGCATGATCATTACAATACCTGCAACTTATTTCCACCAGGCCATCTTTTTTTTTTGGTCTTCCTTTGAAGTCTCAACTTTGATCTGATTAGTGATTATAGTCGAAAGATTGATACAGTATAGTATCTGGATGATAATTACTAAAAGAAAATATATACTTCTTTGTTTTTTGTTTTTTTGAAACCACTATAATACTTCTTTAACTATAAAGAATGATGCATATATTGCATAAATCATGTGAGTCGGCATTAGTCATTGCCGGTCTTTGCCGTTGGCAGTATGTGCTAGTGCCACCCACGTTCATGTGCATGCACGATGAATCGATGATTGACTCTTGACCTTTCAAAAGTCCATAACGTAATACCTAATAACATTAGATTTTCCTATATTCCTTAAGAAAATTGTATATTCTTCCGCTAATAAATCCGCCCGATTTTACTCCTATTAATTTTGATTTCTTTATTTCTTGTTCCAATTTGTACAATAACTAAAATAATTTTCATTTGATAATTATATTGCACTTCACTATTATTGACTTAACTTTCCGATTCACATCAACATTATTGTTTTTCTTTTTCACCAATAACTAAAAAATTAATGTCAGTAAACTAATAGTATAAATGTTTCAAAACATATTTGCGTGAAAAAATACTAAAAATTCAGTTGTTTAGTAATAAATTAGTACCCAACCACATTTGGACTCAGATGGTTTATTTTCAAGGTTGGCTCCTCCTCAGTTGACAAATTTTTTTGTTCTGTTCAAAGTAAACAGAATAAATAATAAACAAAAATATCGTCGGACATACTATGCTCTCAAGACTGATCAAGATATGCTCGTGCCCTGTCTTGATCCAACCCGGACTCAATGCAAACTTACTTAAAAAAATATATTCACAGAACATTTTAATAAGAGAAAAACAAGCCACGTTAAGAGAATTACTATCTATCATAATTATTTTTAATTGTTTAATTGTTACAAATTCCAGATCTACATCCAAAATCAGTTTTAGTTAAATTATTCTCTTCATATCATCTTATATATATATATATATATATATATATATATATATATGTTTTTGGTATACATAAATTAACCAAAAAATATAACTACAAGTTGTAAACTATCCATTTTCAACGTCCCTTTAAGAGTCGTTTTCCACCTTTTCTAATATTTATGTTAATTAACATTTATATCTCTTTGGTATATAATTTATGAAAACTCTTAAAAATACACAAATCATTGAAATATTAGTATGTGTTTCTCTTTGCTTATAGAAAAAAAAGAAAAAAGGAATAATACACTTGATTAATAATACAATTCTGATTGATTCTGTGGCTGTGATATGATTGGCTGATTCTGATAGATTCGGCAACCCTAAATTCCAATTCCACTTTTCTGCATGGAAATAAATATGGACGACATGAGAAAAAGTTGTACGCACTTCATGTCTTCATATATATTTAGTTGTCGATCGATATAATAATAGTACCATCATAGACATACTTTTTGTTCTTTTTTTATATATATACAATAGTACCATCATGGCATCATAGCCATACTTGGTACTACACTCCACGTAAAAACGTCGTTAATTAAAACGGTATGTTACGCGCTAAAACGATATGTAGTTAACACTCTCTTCTGATACACTCGGCTTTCATTTTTTGTATAGGAAGATAAATCCATTTAATTTGTTCATCAGAACTGAATTTTTCTATCAATATGGAGTCAAATTACAATGGTCACTGTTGAGAACTTGAGTTCTTACAAAAGGAATCAGATGGTAAAAATGAAAATAAACACTATTTGGAATTTTTAGTTTAGCAAAGTATATATGTCCACAAGTTTATTGTTTTCTCTGCTTATTCAAACGAAATTTAATTTCTTCAAACCGTTAATTTTATTCATTGTCGAGTTTCTCTTGTCTAGATAAAGATTCCACACGTGAAGTTAGTATCCTAATCAAATCTGTTACCTCTTTGTTATCTTCTTCCTATCTTTTCTTCTTCTTCTTCTTTCTTTGTTTGTTGTCTCCTTGAAAGGACATTTTCTAGTAAGTACCCTTTTGACTAGCAATACTACATTGCTATAACAACAACATAATAATGACAGCCTGAAGTTCACTTTCCAATATATTATTGTACTATGCACTTAAACTTTTATTAATCCATTAATTGTTTTGTTTCATTTTATCAAAAACACATTTAAACGCTATCTTTTTTAACTTATTTATAGCTAGGGAAACCATGTCAATGATGATGGACATCGCATTGCATGCATAAAACATTTGAATAAAAAATTCAACAACCTTATTGGGTTGCTTCTTAAAACACATAGTAACATACACCCGACAAAAGATAAGAGCTCATAGGTAGTTGAATAAGCATGTACCATTGGAGAGGATCGATCCAAGTCAGATGCCTATTCGAATAAGCCAGAAGTCATGGAAAAAAAGAAAGAAAGAAGAAGTCGAAAATCATGGTACAACACGGAAATGTTAAAAAGAGCTGAAAAGAAGAAAAAATAATCGTTAAAACAACCGACACTGTTGCTTAATTTGATAGGTGTATATGGGAAACAATATGCGATTTGATGAGAAGGTGCAATCTCACCATCTAACAGTTGCGTTTTGTCAAAAGACTCAAAACAAAAGTGATTATATTTTTCTCCTCCAACTTGTTTCCACAATTCCACGTTTGTTAGACAAAAAATTAAATGTCAAATTAAAGGACAACATTAATGCTGATATATGTGTTTGGAAGGGACGTAAACAAGTAAAGTTGTGATTGCTCGATCCAACATGTTAACGTGCGTGGAGACTTTTCAACTCATGAAATTCATAGAACCTTAATCGCTGATTAAATCAGTTAGTTGGCACCAATAATTTTCATGGCCACGTAAACTGATCCTTAACAATACCGTAGTTTGTTCGTCCAATACCAATAACTAGACGTAGTAATCCCTAGCTATTCTCATTACTAGGAATGAGTAATCATTTAGTTTCATTTTAAGCAATGTTTACAAAATTTTGCACACAAATTAAGAATTTATATAATGTAATGGATATTTTTTTTAGATCAAACCACCATTAAGTAAAACTAATTCAATTCAATCAATAGAAGCATACTGAAAAATATATAAATGGTAAAAACTAAAAAGTTTAAATATGTACATTGAAACCTTTGCATAAAGACTTGTCAACATAATTTAAACTGAAAGAAGAAAAGATCTAAAACATTATGGAACATACAGTATATAAGTGAAAGCAGTTTCAAAACCTTGTGTTAAGGATGCTCTAACAATGAGTATTATTCCATCACCTATTATTGTTGTTAAATTGATCTCATCATTATTGAACCCACTAAACCATACACATGCACTTGTAAAAGCGTTAGTTTTTCTTTTTCTCTTTTTCTTACGTATTTAACTGATATCATAAACATGGTGATAATTAAAGGTAGAGATAACACAGAAACTTATGAGGTTAATAAGTACTACGTAATAACCACACATAGAGATATACACTTTAGCATTTTCGAAATGAGTATATTACCGATCAACAGCTAGTAGCCGCTAACCACACATACTTGTATAAAAACGTCGGCCTTTGTGAAAGTGTCAATTTTTTTGGCTATTATCAATAGATGAAAGCCGTCTAGCTATAGTTAGGTTATATTTTGGTTAAAAACTGATTAAACTAAAATCCGATTGCTTTAACTTTATATCGTCGTATAACTAGACAAAAAAATTTTAAACTAAAAAAAAAAAACCGGAAAACTAAAAGAGTATCCAAATGAAACCAAATGGATATGTAAGTTATAGCTAGTTTGGTAACTATTTATAATTAAGCTAAAAAAATGGAAGAAACTTGTGCACAAATCCACACGTACTTAACACTAGGCTGACGAGGTGAGTGAGATATATAGGGTGAGCCGTGAGGGTGTCAATAGAGATATTTGTGTTAACTATTGCATATCAATAAACTTGTGCATAAAATTTGATCAAGGAACAAGTTAAACATATTTTGATATAAGGGTTAAAAAAAAAAAAAAAGGAAAAAAGTATATAATGTACGGTTGTCATATTTTTTTACTTTTGTAGCCAAATCACAGATGGAGTTAAGATCTGGAAATATAATTACATAGAAAAATTTGGACAGTGAAGAAAGGATTTTGTATGTTACTCAGTCGTAGAAACAAACAATCTCACCACATTCATTCACAACAATCTCACTTCCTCTTCTTTCTTGAGTCTCTCTTATTGAGAGAGATTCAGTCTGGATCTCTCTTCTTGTCGGCAGATTCTTTTCGCTTCTGCTCGAATCTCCGTTTTACTGTTTTTTTTTTTCCTTTTTTTAATTGAAAGAACAAATCGAATTGAGAAAACGGTGGAGGAATCGGGCGGGTGTAGTAGTAGCGAGTAGCGAAAGATGAGGCGGTGGCCGGTGGATCACCGGCGGCGAGGTAGAAGGAGATTGTCTAGTTGGATATGGTTTCTCCTTGCTTCTTTCTCTGTCGCTGGATTAGTTCTCTTCATGGTTCAGCATCGTCACCATCAACAAGATCCATCTCACCCTATACTTGTATGCCTCTCTCTCTTTCTTTTTTTTTCATCTCCCAAGCTATGGATTTTGTATTGCTCAGATTTGATCTTTTGTTTTGCTCTGCTTATTATATCATCCCTCTCATGATCAAATAATTGTGGATCTTACAAGGATTCACTAATCTAACTGCAATCGTAACCTAATTTAGTTTACGCTCAAGTCTTTACAATTGAATCCTTTTTTTAAGCTCCTAGTTGAGTAGCCTTTTTTTATTGTGTTTGTTTTCGGGCCTTGTATAGATATTGTAGTTTCTTATTGATATTGTTTTGCCGGTATTTTGAAATAGAACAATGTTGAAGGTGCTTTTTTGTTGTAATTTAGAGTTCCAGATGGGAAAGATTTGTGTTAAGTTAAAAGCTCTTCTGTTATATCAAAAATTGGTGATGTTCATGTTAATTTCATTTACTAAAGATAAATTCATATTGGATGAGTCTTCTTCATTATGGCCTTTTTAACATGGAAACATCTGAGGGGAATTATGAACACGATTAAAATGTCATGAGAACTTTGTTGAGATTTCTCTAGCCAAGCCACCACTTGTGAACAAAATCTTTTTCTTTCACAATGTATAGTCTCGGGGATATGGACGATTTATGTATCATACTCACTGTCTAAAGATTGGATCTTTCGATGGTTGCCTTTTGGAAAACTTACTCTTTATCTTCTTGTCTTTGTTAGGAGAGAGACACGAGAGTCGAAAATGTATCTCCTCCCCGTTTAAACTTCACAGAAGAGATCACAAGTGCTTCCTCATTCTCTAGGCAATTATCAGAGCAAGTGACGCTTGCCAAAGCTTATGTTTTTATAGCCAAAGAACACAATAATCTTCATTTAGCTTGGGAATTGAGTTCTAAGATCAGAAGTTGTCAGTTTTTGCTCTCAAAAGCAGCTATGAGAGGACAACCTATTTCACTAGATGAGGCAAAACCCATTATTAGTGGTCTATCAGCTCTAATCTACAAAGCACAAGATGCACATTATGACATAGCCACCACAATGATGACCATGAAATCTCACATCCAAGCCCTTGAAGAGCGTGCAAATGCAGCTACCGTTCAAACCACTATATTTGGCCAATTGGTTGCAGAGGCACTACCAAAGAGCCTCCACTGTGTGATGATCAAGCTCACATCTGATTGGTTGATAGAGCCATCTCGTCATGAACTGGCAGATGAGAACAGAAACTCACCTAGACTTGTCGACAACAACCTCTACCATTTCTGCATCTTCTCGGATAACGTGATTGCCACCTCGGTTGTTGTTAATTCAACTGTCTCAAATGCTGACCATCCGAAACAGCTTGTTTTCCACATAGTGACAAATCAAGTGAGCTACAAAGCTATGCAGGCTTGGTTTCTAAGTAATGACTTCAAGGGCTCAGCTATAGAGATCAGGAGCATAGAGGAATTTTCTTGGTTGAATGCTTCATATTCTCCTGTTGTTAAGCAACTGCTGGACACAGATGCAAGAGCGTATTATTTCGGGGAACAGACAAGTCAAGATACGATTGGCGAGCCAAAAGTGAGGAATCCAAAGTACTTGTCATTACTGAACCATCTCAGATTCTACATTCCCGAGATCTATCCGCAGCTAGAGAAGATTGTTTTCCTAGACGACGATGTTGTTGTTCAGAAAGACTTGACTCCACTCTTCTCCTTGGATCTACATGGAAACGTTAATGGAGCTGTGGAAACATGTCTTGAAGCCTTTCACCGTTATTACAAGTATCTAAATTTCTCGAACCCTCTCATCAGCTCAAAGTTCGACCCACAAGCATGTGGATGGGCTTTTGGCATGAACGTTTTTGATCTGATCGCATGGAGGAAAGCGAACGTGACAGATCGGTATCATTACTGGCAAGAACAGAATAGAGAACGAACGCTGTGGAAGCTCGGGACACTCCCTCCAGGTCTACTGTCTTTCTATGGTCTTACAGAGCCACTGGATAGAAGATGGCATGTGTTGGGTTTAGGTTACGATGTGAACATCGATAACCGTCTGATTGAAACAGCAGCTGTGATTCACTATAATGGTAACATGAAGCCGTGGCTAAAGCTGGCCATCGGTAGGTATAAACCTTTCTGGTTAAAGTTTTTGAACTCGAGCCATCCGTATTTACAAGATTGTGTCACAGCTTGAAGCAAAAAGACTTACAGAGTTGAGACTAATCCACATCAGAAGAATTCATGATTTCTTACACACTTTGAAGATTCTTTTTCTTTGGAATATTGTAGATCTCAGAAAGTTTGTCACATTCAGAATTTTCCTTCCGAAGACTACTTGTTATCTTCTTTATGGTCTGAAGAGAAACACATTAGAGGGTCCATCATGTACTTACGGTTGAATAGATTACAGGGATTATTATTTTTTGGCGAGTTTATATATATATATATATATATTTTTCTTTTCCAAGCAATTCTTGTTAACTAGTTCTCTGCGTTGAGTATGAACTTTTCACATATAAAATAAAGTATTTAAAAATAAGATATATATAGCCACCAATGTTCATGTGCCAACGATGAATTGAAAGGTTAATTCATTTCACATACATGAACTGGTCGAAGTTAAATATCGTCTTGTGATCCTTGACTTTAAACAAAACATGAAGATTGATGAGTGTGGAAGTTTTCAACGCACTGCTTTAAATTTCGGATGATCATATATACTCACTGTCACTGACGGGAAAGATAAGACTATCAACTTATAATATGCATTCATAATAACGATGTCAAACGTCAGGGCTGATGAGCAACTGCTCCTAACCCATACCAGTGAAATTTTAATGCAATCTGCTCGAAAACGGAGAACCTGAATGCAAAAGGTGAGATGATATTTCAAACCTTAGTTGCTCAAAATGCTAGATGATGTAGTGATATTTGATACTCTCTCTCTCTCTCTCTCTCTCTTTCTCTCAGGAGGAGCTGACGGAGGCAGCTCAGCAACACATGAAAGAGGTTGGAGTTCAGCTCGTGGAGAAGCGTAACGATTTCGTTCGGTATGCACCATCTGATTATTCAGAGTTATGGGTTACGACCCACTAGTTAAACACTTAAAACGCTTAGACTATTGCAAATACGTTATTATATATTTTTCTTTTTTAAAGTGACCACATAGTCACCAAACCAGGAACTGAAAATCACATATATAACACGTTTGTGGGTCAAAATATTAGCCTCACCAGTCACCACCAACCTACTCTACTTATCTATCTCTCACGACAAACTATATATATTATAACAAACAACAAACGTATTTTGGTATCAGTAGCAAACGAGTAATCTCATCATTACATAGCCAAAAAAAAAAAAAACACGAATGGGATCCAAATCTCTAAACTACGTCGTCGTGCCAGATTCGAATCACGAGTTAGCATCTTCGTCGCCATCAGAGTTTGAGAAGAACCAAAAACATTACCAAGAAATCATCGCCACGCTTCCTCGGGAAGATAGCTGGAGACCAAAAGATCCATTCGTCGAGTACGGTGGTCACTGGTGGCTACAACCTCTCCTCGAAGGCTTACTCCACGCCCAGAAGTTCTTTAAAGCTCGACAGAATGATTTCTTCGTCTGCAGCTACCCTAAAACCGGTACGACTTGGCTCAAAGCCTTAACCTTTGCCATCGCAAACCGCTCCAAGTTCGACGATTCAACAAACCCTCTTCTCAAACGCAACCCACACGAGTTTGTCCCTTACATCGAAATCGATTTCCCGTTTTTCCCAAGTGTTGATGTTCTTAAAGACCAAGGCAACAAGCTTTTCTCCACTCACATCCCTTACGATCTCTTACCTGAATCAGTTGTGGAATCTGGTTGCAAGATTGTTTACATCTGGAGAGACCCAAAGGACACGTTCGTCTCGATGTGGACTTTTGCTCACAAGGAGAGATCACAACAAGGATCACTCATTAGCCTAGAGGAAGCTTTTGATAAGTATTGTCAAGGTCTATCTGTCTACGGTCCTTATCTTGATCATATTTTAGGATATTGGAAGGCTTACAAAGCAAACCCAAATCAGATTTTATTTCTAAAGTACGAGACTATGAGAGCTGATCCATTTCCGTATGTGAAGAGATTAGCTGAGTTTATGGGTTATGGATTCACCAAGGAAGAAGAGGAAGAAAAGGTTATTGAGAAAGTTGTGAAGCTTTGTAGCTTTGAGACTTTGAAGAATCTTGAAGCTAACAAAGGTGAGAAAGATAGAGAAGATCGTCCTGCTGTTTTCGCCAACAGTGCTTATTTCAGAAAAGGGAAAGTTGGGGACTGGGAGAATTATCTGACTCCGGAGATGGTGGCACGTATTGATGGTCTCATGGATGATAAGTTTAAAGGAACTGACTTTCTTTCATCCATATGATGAATATGATCTTTTGTCTTCAAGCTATGTCTCTCTGTTTCTTCTGATCCTATGCTGGTTTATAATATGTAGGTTGCTTTTGTTTACTAGGATACTTTCCATTAGATCAATCTTTGGTGAAGTAATGTGTTATTGTTGTTGTTTTCGTTGAGTGTATCTATCATTATATGTATCGGTTATTGGTCACTAACCAATGATGTTGGCAAAGACTCCCACAAATTAATATGCAGAATCAATAAGAAAAAAAACAGAACAACCTCTGTTTTGCACCAAGATCAAAAGGAAAGAACACATATATACCACTTATAAGTTACAAACTATATAAATCCTTTCGTCATGATCAACTAAATCACTGTAGAAAATGGTTTGGCACTTTGGCTATTTACAAAATATAGTGGAACTATTATAATACAAATGTAATGATGGTTTGGACACTTTGGACGATAACAGAACTCAAAGTATCGTTCTGTCCAATATACATATCATGGGAATACGGTGTTAAGAAAACTATGACAAATGCTTTGTGACATTTTTGTGCATAGCTGCTAAATTGTTACATTGTTTGCTCAAATCCTTGAGGTGAATTAGTTCCTCCTTCCAAAAGTACTAATCTCGAGTTTTGTCTTATGTGGTTTTGCTTTAACAGCAATAGTACAACAAAGACTCTATTGACGAGCCAAGTAAAAAAACGACAAACTAGTAACTTATCAAATCATCTTTCAAAATCATCAGGAAAGTTCTTACACAAAAACATCAAAGCTACTCAATTGTTTTGCACATTGAGCAATACCCAGTAGTTCATATACAGCAAAAAGTTCTTTTAATAAGAGCGAAAGGTCTCGCCTTTTGATTTTCGTCGATTGAGCAAATTTACTATTCCACAAGTATTGTTTTTTTTTTTAAAAATGAACGCGATTCTGTGCCGTAGAGTCGTCGTCGACTCATCTTCGCGTCTCACCAAATGGCTCACGAACCCAACGACTCATGCCCACCCGAATCGTCAAACTTTCACTTCGCTCTACAAACCGAGCCAGAGCCGGCATTTTCGAACTCACTATCTTCCTTCAAGCCCCTCGTCTCCTCCCGTGAGCCGCTTTGACCCTTCCCTGCTATGGCGATCGGAGAAAATTCGTGGGTTTTTCTCGAGCGCTTTAGTGAACAAAGCTGCGAAATTGGGTAATCTCGTGGAGTCCAGAGTTGGGTTCATTGGTTCTCGGTTTCCCAAAAAGGGTTTCGAGTTCGAGAGGTTCTCTGGGTTCCAAAGGCGTAGCTGGTATGTTAGTGTCTTTCATCATCCCTAAGTCTCGTACAACCTTATCGAGATCCGATTGGGGTTTCACTTGTGTTTGTTTTTACATTTGACAGGAAGCATTGGCTTCAAGGATTATCAGATCGTGACGTTGTTCTTGGATTAGTTGTAGCTAACGCAGCTGTGTTTATTATGTGGCGTGTTTTCAATCAACAATTTATGATGAATAATTTCATGGTTAGACCTCAAAGCTTACAGCTTTATAGACATTTTGGTTCCAATACATGCTTGTGTATGGAGAATTAGGCTCTAGATGTCTTTGCATGTAATGCTGATGAAAACATATGTAGTTGATAATGGCTTTGCTGATTGAATTTTGGGCAGATATCGTTGGACAATTTCACCAGTGGGCGTCTACATACTTTGATCACTTCAGCATTCAGTCATATTGATATTGGACATATCGCCTCAAACATGATTGGACTCTACTTTTTTGGAACCAGTGTACACTTCATTTCTCTTATGACTTGTATTTGTTGAGTGAAGCACTCTTGAGCCTGTCACTGCTAGTTTATGAAAAGTTTTGATAGAGATAGTGAATTGTCCTTTTTAATCGCTTACTTCTTCATTTTCCTGAATCCTTCTCTTGATAGATCGCTAGAAACTTTGGTCCTCAGTTCCTTTTGAAGCTGTACTTTGCTGGAGCGCTTGGTGGCTCTGTTTTCTACCTGATTCACCATGCTTATATGGCTGCAACATCGCCCAAGGTATAGAGCAACCAGTATAAAAATGTTCCTATATCTCAAATAATGCTAGGTCCTCACATACGCTAGTTTTGCATTTCAACTATGATGTTGTGTGGGACGGCTTTTCCTTTTCATATTGGGTGACTAATCATATGTGGTGGACAGGGCCAAGGAGCTTTCATGAGGGATCCGTCGAGAACTCCGGGACTGGTATGTTTGAATAAGATGGCAGTTGCATTCGATCTTTGGTTTGGTTATCAGACATTGAAAATTATGACTACTGAGCTAATGCATCCAGAGTTAACTCTTGATCCCCTTCATTGATCCTATTTCTACATGAATTTGACATAAAAATCCATTGTTATGTATTTTGTTGGATGAAAGTGAGAATGATTTGAAGAACTCTTTTACTGTTGTATGAAAGGGCGCGAGTGGAGCCGTGAATGCCATCATGCTGCTCGATATCTTCCTGCACCCAAGAGCTACTCTATACTTAGAGTTTATCATTCCAGTTCCGGCAATGTTGCTTGTAAGTTTTAAGCTCTCAGTCTTAGCTTAAAAGCTAATCTTTCTTCCTAATTCAACTAAAACTCACTCTTCTTTATCTTTCAGGGTGTCTTCCTCATAGGAAAAGACATTTTAAGGATAACAGAGGTAGTCTAATTATCAAATAAATTGCAAAAACTCAAAGTTTGTTTGGAACTATCTGATGATATTTTTCTTTCTTTACTCAAACAACAACAAACCATTTGGACATTGCAGGGTGACAGTAACATATCAGGTTCGGCTCATTTGGGAGGAGCTGCAGTTGCAGCCATCGCCTGGGCTCGTATTAGGAAAGGCCGCTTCCGCTTTTGACCTGACCTTGCTTGGTTTCTGGTCATCGTTAGAGAAATCTTTCTTTTAAATGATTTAAGAAACTTTGAGTCGTTGAGTCCATATTGTGGCTATCTGGTCTCTGCTTACCATATCTGTTTATCCAACCAATTTGGTCTCTTTTGTGCCGTTGAACCTAACCTTTAGAGACTGATCCACCTTGAAACAGTAATTTTTTAATTAGACTACATTTTGGTATGATATTCCTGTTTGTACCATTAAACTTTAAAGTCTAAAAAGCTAAGTATATTTTAAGAAATGTTGAATGAAACATGATTCCAAGCTCATCAAATTGTTAGAGAAAAACAAAATAAAAGAAGAAGAGATCCTTGTAACGTATTTCCCTTTAACCTCGGGGACCATTTCACTATTTTAAGAGACGTATATAAACAACCACTGAAAGAACGACACGTCATCGAGGTGCCACGTAATAAAGTAAAGTAAAAAGTTTCTTCCTTTTTGTTTCCTCTTCGACCAGGTTTTTTTTTGTTCTCTTTAAATTTGTTCTTTTTTTTTTTTCCCGATAACCTAAGCCAAAAAAAAAAGCAACCTTTATCATCTGTAAATTGTTAATCGCCATAAGAAATAAAATTTGGATATCGGATTTTCATCTTCTTCATCCTCTCGGGATTTTTCACTTTTTTCCCGCACTTTCTCAGCTGGAACGGAAGGGAGGTTTTGTTTTGTCGCCCGGAGAAAATGAGGTGGGAAAGGGTCCGACAACAACAGCAACAAGTGGGTCTCGTTCAGTCTTCTTCCGGGCCCGGTAAGAGGTGGGGACACACTTGTAACGCCATTAAAGGAGGTAGCTTTCTCTACGTTTTCGGTGGCTATGGCAGAGATAATTGCCAAACCAATCAAGTCCATGTTTTCGACGCTGGTTAGTTCTCTGTTTACTAAAATGGCGTATTTTATTTAGGTTCATTCCACATTTCGGATTTGCATATATTCTCAATCGTATTCGTTTCGTTCCCTGTCACATCATTCTTCCTAGACAATCATCTAGGATTTTCTTCTTCTTCTTCTTCTTTTGTTCATTCATCCTGCATGTTTGCTTTAGGATAAGAAATTACACTCTTAAATTCCGTCTGATTTTGGTATCAGAAACGGCTCTAATTCTCTTTATGCACAATTTATGTTTAAAGCTTTCTCTTTTGATTCATACTTGAGTGATTTCGTTTTGATCCTTTTGAGGAAACTTTTTGTATTGGTCTGGTTGTGAATTGGTCTGTTATGGGTTAATTGCTCTCACTGTGGTGATCTTTGTTGCAGCAAAGCAGGTATGGACGCAGCCAATGATCAACGGCACACCTCCTTCTCCTAGGGACAGTCACAGCTGTACAACAGTCGGAGATAACCTTTTTGTCTTTGGTGGTACTGACGGAATAAAACCTCTCAACGATTTGTTCATTCTAGATACTTGTAAGCTTCTTCTTTGTTTATTTCAAGTTTTGACTTGTCCCTGTTTGAAGAAGGCATCATCACTTGGTTTGTATGTTTCTATTTGTGGTTGTAGCTTCACATACTTGGAGATGCCCGAGTGTTAGGGGAGAGGGACCTGCGGCAAGAGAAGGTCATAGCGCTACATTGGTTGGTAAAAGGCTATTTGTCTTTGGTGGCTGTGGGAAATCTTCTGATATTAATGACGAAATTTATTATAATGACCTTTACATACTTAATACAGGTACTGTTTTGTTCATGGTGTTCTTCATTTGACATGTGAATCTATTCCATGTTACCATTTCTTATGCATTGATAAGAAATCTTAGATAGATTCTGAAACATAAACAAGTGCAAACCATTTCCTTTCTTCTCCTAATGTTGAGGTTTTAAAATACCATTTGTCCTAAATTTCCGAAGATGCAAGTAAGTTAACCTGCTTGACGTTTGTGTAGAGACTTTTGTGTGGAAACGTGCTGTTACAATGGGAAATCCTCCATCTGCGCGGGATAGCCACTCTTGCTCATCGTGGAAGAACAATATTGTTGTTATAGGTGGTGAAGATGGACATGACTACTATCTGTCCGATGTTCATATCCTTGATACGGGTGAAAAAGCGTTCATAAATCCATGTTCTTTTAACATTACTAGTGTATGTCTTCTATCTGAAGATTAATGTAAGTTATTCTTTAATTATGTTTTCATTTTGACTTTCAGATACACTCATATGGAAGGAGCTGAGTACTTCAGGGAAGTTGTTGACACCTCGAGCTGGTCATGTTACTGTTTCACTTGGGAGAAACATTTTTGTATTTGGAGGGTTTACAGATGCTCAGAATCTGTATGATGATCTCTATGTGCTTGATGTCGGTATGTAACTGAAAGTATCACTTAATAGCAATATAGAATATAGATGAGGTAGATTGGCTTAGTCCTTTCTCTCTATATAAGTAAGGACCTGCCCAATTTCTTGTCCAAACAAAATTTTCTCAGTTAAAGATATTAAGATGAGCCATTATATCAATTTTCATAAGAAGGATACCTGTACGAGGCTTTCTATAGTATATTAGTGTTATATTGGTTTGTTTCTTGATCAGTCTTTTAAAATCGATAGTTACGCATATTCACATTGTTTTATTAAGTGTTTCTTTGTTGTTTGTACCTGTAGATACATGTGTATGGTCCAAGGTTCTCACCATGGGAGAAGGACCATCTGCTAGGTTCTCTTCTGCCGGGGCTTGTCTAGATCCTCACAAAGCTGGTTTTCTTGTCATTGTTGGTGGCTGCAATAAGAATCTCGAGGCATTGGATGACATGTTCTACTTACACACAGGTTACTGCAAACCTCTTTAATTAACTAATTGCCAAATTTGATTCTTAGGTGGTAATTCACAAGGACATTTGGACAGGGCTTTTCTCATTCTAATCATTTAAAATTCCGTTAATAGGTCTTGGCTACGATGCTAGATTTGATCAGAATGCAGGGAGGTTGTCTTTAAAGAAACAATTGAAGATAAAGTGCCAAGAACAAAGTCATTCAAGTTCCTTATACAATCAATCACTTGTCAGAATCAATATGGATCATCAAGGTGTGTTTAGCCAGACTCTGTGCTAGCCAAGATTAGATTGAAACATAAAAAGGTAGCATTTATCTGTAGCAGAAAATCACTAGTTTGTATATGTTTGCTGTATTGTAGGAAACAGGAATTTTGGTTTGAGCACTGGCCAATTAAGTGAAGGAAAGATGATGTTTCATGCCCGGATAACCGAGAGTTACCAGGTTGGTTACACTATAGAAACTATGATAGATGGAAAAGTGCTTCGTGGTGTTTTGTTTTCAAACAAGCACAGCTCCGTTCTGGCAAACGATCAAAGCTTTAGTAGGTGAGTGGTTGAATAATCATCTTCTTTTCAGGGTTTTCAGTTGGGTACATTGTTTTGTGATCAATTTTATTTGTTGTACAGAAAGAGGCCAGCTATGTCGAACGGCGATCAGGATAACAGATCAAAAATATCAAGGACTTCTATCAAGGATCAAGCTGATGCTATGGAAACCAAAGATTTCCCATCAAACGACATGGAGGCTGGTATTGATACCATCAGCAATCCTCTGGATGTTAATGTAAACACGGTGGCAGTGGCACCACAAGAAACAGAAACCGCTGTTGTTATATCTGATGCCAAGAACGAAGTTGCAACTCAACTTGATATGGTGCTTTTTCTTTAATCATATATTCTCAAAAACCTGACTATTTATTTCTTTCTCTTAAATTGACGGTTAATCAATATATTGGGACTGACTGTAAAATACTGAAAATCATTGTGCAGGGAACTGCAGATACAGCTCCATCACCAGTTCCTCAGGCAGATGAAGCGTCTTTAGAATCTAGAAATGCAATAACGATAGATGATAGAGCTACCAAGACCGGACCTGGAGAGTCATAGCTACAAAAAAAGGTGGGCTAATGTCTTTTAACTCCTTGTGATTGAACCACTAGACTACACAAGAACAGAACAAGCCATTGCATTTAAAAATAGTTGGGTCTAACTCTGTTCTTTTTGAGCATTTGATTTACAGATGAGAGATTTCCCGATATAGACAGAGGAACAACAGCATGAACATCATCATTTCTTTTCCTGTACATTAGTCTGGAGCTAGGGTGGGTTTAATTTAGAATCTAAGTTAGATTATCGTGGTGACCGGTGAGGATGATGAGGAGCTAACTCTGAGCAAGGTTTCTTTTCTTTTGTTTCTTTTTCTTCTCTGCAATTTTCGGCTTTTTTGTTTTGTTTAATTGAACTTGCTAGCAATGTTATGCTTCCCCCCTCTCAAAGCTTTTTTTGTCAGCTAAGTATGGTTTATCTAAGAATATTTTTGTAAACTAAGGTCATACTCTTGATCATTTCATGGTTTTTAGTTTAACCCGAAATGGTTTGTTTCTTTTATCCTTCCTTGCTCTCTAGTTATTGTGTTTTGCTAAAAAGCGCTAGCGAGTCTTTTAGTGTTTTGAGGGATTAAGAAGAGTTCCAAGTCATCTTTCAAGAAGAATAGTAGTAGATTGTGATTGTTTGGTTCTTGTTCTTCGGTTAATACTCAGTCTCTGGCTCAGTATTCACAGTAGAGAATAGAGATCGATGGAGCCCTGTTTACTCTTTATAGCGCTAGAGTTGGGTGGATCAAATCAGTAGGAAAATAAAATATGGAGACAACGTAGAAGAAAAGTCAAACTAGTCCTAGTTGGCAATCCAGCTACTCAAGCATGTAGTTCCATATCCAACTAATTTTAGCATGTGATTATATCAAACTTTTTAAATGTTAAAAACAAGTTTTCTAATTTTCATCATGTAACAACTAGTAAGTATCTAACAAGTAAAAACAATCAAGAAATGTACACATACTCACATAGAGAAGAACACTGAAATTTCATTTACTTTTTTGACTACCTTTACATTGCATTTATTTGATTGTCCAGAAAAAAGATTGGATAAATTTTGTGAAAAATCTCAAAACAAGAAGACAGAAGTCACATGCAGAGGGAGACATCTAAAGAAGTAATCACATCTTACTTCCCACATGGATTCGTGATATGACAAAGCGTCTGTATCTCTCCAATTCTCTCATAAACAATCTCTCTCATTTCTATTTTTTATTTTTATTATTCATCAGAAAAAAAAGAAACTATTTTCCTAAAAGATAATCTATGACAAAGGCTTTTTAGTCTTTAAGAGTGAGGAACCAAAAAAAACTTCTTATGTGGCTGTCTTTTTGTTGTGTTCTCTGAGCAAGAACCAGAGAAAAACATTTTGCAGAGGTTCCTTTTTTCTTCGGCGTCTTATATATTCTTCTTATTTGGCTTGGCAGTTCCTTTTCTCTACCTTAGGTTTGTGAAATTCTTGAATGTACTACATTCTTATCTCATCATTGATCTTCTTCTTGGGCATCCAGTTTACAGACAAAAGACCTTTTGTTCTGTAATAACTAGTGAGCTTTTCTTGTTCTTTTTGGAATTGAGTGGGATTTGAGAATCTAGGCGTTGAAAGTAGGGTTCAATTGATCGATAGGTTTCTGTTCAAAGTTTTAAAAGTTTTTGACTTTTTTGATTCAGAATCGAACCGTAGATGTTTTTGAACTTTTGCTACGAGTAGTGACAATAATGCAACTTTTTTACTACCCCAATAGACTATTTCTAAGAAACAAATGCGAATTTTTAATATTGTCGATGGTAGGATTTTTAAGCTGTAGTTTAGCTGGAGAGCAATCAGCAATGGCGTTCACATTGAGTATTGTCAGTGCCAATTTTATTGGAATCTGAATTGATAAAAAAAAATGGAAACTTTTTTGGAATTATATGAAATATGGAAAGTGGCGTCATTCTCGTTATGGTTTCAATGGTGGTGGTTGCTATTGATGGAGATATAACGAAAGCTTACGTTTTTCCTAAAATTAGGTTTATTGGAAAGGACTACACAGTGTCACCTACAGAGAGAAGAGTTCAAATTTTCTCCCTTTTTTGGGTGGTTGTCAGCAGCAAGTTCAGGCGCCGGAGATTCGCCGGAGCTTAGACTTCAGGTGGATATATCCTAGAGTTCTTCACCATTCATGGCTGCCAAGCTTCTGCATACGTTGGCAGATGAGAACTCGGACCTCCAGAAGAAAATTGGGTGTATGAATGGGATTTTTCAAATCTTTGATCGTCACCATGTTCTCACGAGCCGGCCTAAAAGTCTTACTTTAGGTAATCATAATTCATGACATTTAAGCAATAAACATTAATGAATGCTCTTTAGATCGTGTCTCGTAGTCGTTGACTTGTACGTGGTCATATGTTACAACGTTCTTAACTATATGTCTTTTTCTATCTTCTATAGCTCTGTTTCTTCATGAACTTAAAAAGGTCTTCTCTGATTCTACTTCTGTGAGGACTAAAAGGTTTGTGCTTTCTCGGCTGCAGAGAAATATTTGCTCTGGTTTGTGAAATGTCTCTTCTTTTTGTTAGATTGATCTGGGTTTTGTGTGGCTTTTCTTGGTAGCTTTTGACTTCTCTTAACCTTAGAATCTTCATTGACAAAGAGAATTTTGATATGATTCTGAAACTTTGTTGTTTTTGTTGTTATGTGTTGTTTTTGCAGGTAATTTACATGTCAATAGTATCAACTTTGAAAGAGACTCTGCTGATGCAATTGATCACCAACGATCAGCATTTCAGTTTCGAGACTCAGACATTATAAGCGGATATGGGTCGAGCGAGAAACTGACAAGGGTATCAACTGAAGCGTCAAAGGTATCTTTATCATCGTCGTGTTCATCATCTTCCCCGTTATCTTCTGAGGTAATCAAAGAAGTTCAGCCTGAAATTTATGCGGATAACCGAGTCATTTTTCCAGAATCTCCTGCAAGTGATCCAGCAATGAGCCAAGGAAGTGGTACACACATGGGACTTGACCTTAGAGATGTTGTTAGAGATTCTATGTATAGAGAAGTTAGAGGGTTCTCTGAAGTATGTAGACACAACAAAAGAGAGGATTCTCCAAGACCCTATGGTTTGAAGCAATCCACGCCTGTCGATTTCAATGAATCCTGCAGAGCTCTAGCCAAACTTAGAAAAACATCTCATCATTACTACAATGAGGTAGACATGAAAGACACATCCCGTTACTATGTTGATTCTCGCGGAAAGTTGAAGTCCGGGAAGAAGCTGAAGGAGTTGCCTAAGCTTTCATTGGACAGTAGAGACCACGTTGATCTCACATCAGGTAATAAGCTTTCTGAAAGTTTAAGTAGAAGCTCTAGCATGAACAAAGTTTCTGGTAGCCCGAAACGGCCTCCTAGTGTTGTTGCAAAGCTAATGGGCTTGGAAACATTACCGGGGTCTCCTTTGGGCAGAGACAAAATAAAGATGTTAGATGGTAACAGTGATCTGTTCTCAAGATCATTGCGGGAAAATAGCCTGAACCGTTCTCTCCGGTTTTCTCCTAGCTCACCAAGAAGCTTAGGGAAGGACCCTGCTTCTTCTTCTTCTCCAAGATGGAGAAACTCTGAGTTTGTTATGAAACCCTTATCAAATTTGAGATTTCCCTTTGAACCAGCTCCATGGAAGCAAACTGATAGAAACCGGGTTTTGCAAAAGCAAGCCTGCAGGTCTGTGAAATCTCTGTCACAGTCAATGGAGGGAAGACTGAAAGATCTCGAGGTTAAACATTCGGGAAAAGATCTCAGAGCTCTTAAAGAGATATTAGAGGCAATGCAATCAAAAGGCCTCTTTGATATTCGAAAGCAACCACAATGCATAAACTTGGAAGCTCAAAGAGATTATGAAATGGCAGATTCTGCAACTTCTAATCATGATTCAGGAGACCTGCAAAATCCGGTGATTCCATCCAAAATGAGAGGCCCGATTGTGATTATGACACCTGCCAGACTTGTTGAAAAATCTGGTATTCCTTCATCATCTCTGATTCCCATTCACAGTCTTTCAGGTCTTAATAAGACCTGCAGAGAAGAAGCCGTAAACGCTAGAAAAATTTCAACAAGTAGAAAGGCAGAAAAAGATCGTAGTCCTAGAAACCAAAGAGCTGAATCATGTATCAATTCAGTAGAGAAGAAATCTAGCAGCAGAAACGTGAGGTCTTCTCAGGTTTCCAGAGAAAGTACTTCAAAGAATTCAGGATCTGCAAGTCCAAAACTGCAGCAGATGAAGCATGAGCATGACAAGCGTTCTCGGCCACCAACCTCTCCATCTGATTCAAGCAGATCAAGAAAACAAATAAGCCGACAACCCGTGGAATCTACTACTTCTCCTGGTGGTAGGCGTAGCAGACCCAGGGATCAGAGGAGCTTGCAGCAAAATGATGACCAAGTTAGTCAAATGAGCAATAGATCTAGGACTGAACCAGAAGCCACCGGGAGTAACATAAATGGTGGCAAGACTGTAAAAGAGGCAGCCAAAGCTGTAGTCTCAAACTTAGTACATAATGTGAGTTACTGTGTCTCATGCTACTGTTTGGTACTTGAAAAAGCTTCAACTGCTGATTTTCTGATATTTTTTTAATATTTTCTCAGAAGTCCAGTCCTTCTTTTAGTGAAGATGGATCATCAGAACATACAAGTCCAGTTTCTGTTCTCAATGCAGCAATCTACATAGAGATCGAACCATCTCCTGTGAAAATCCAAACTTGTGAAGGCAGTAAGACCTCTATCTATACATCTTTATTGGAAAAATGGAAATTGCGAGGAAATTGTTTTATGTTTTCAACCATATACCTTTCATTTCTGACTTGGAAATTGATGTTGTAATAGGAGTTAATGGCCGTATTGACTCAGGTGTTGAACATTGCGAGGAGGATCAGTGGAATCCAGCTTATAGCTTCTCAAAGATAACAACCAGCTTTTCGCCAGAGATGAACCGAAAGAAGCTTCAGAATGTTGAGCATTTGGTTCAAAAGCTAAGAAGACTAAACTCTAGCCATGACGAAACCAGCCAAGATTACATTGCATCTCTATGCGAAAACAATGATCCTAACACAGATCACAGATACATTTCCGAGATTCTTTTAGCCTCAGGTCTTCTCCTTAGAGACCTCGGCTCAGGATTAACAACTTTTCAACTTCACCCTTCAGGCCACCCAATCAATCCAGAGCTGTTCCTTGTTCTTGAGCAAACAAAAGGATGCAGCAGCAACAACAATGAGAAGTTAAACCGCAAACTTGTGTTTGATGCTGTTAATGAAATGCTTGTGAAGAAGCTAGCTTATATTGAGAGCACTGCAGATCCATGGATGAAGCAAGCTAAAGCGAGGAAGAGGGTCTTAAGTGCGCAAGATCTCTTGAAAGAGCTATGTTCAGAGATAGAGACAATACAAAAGCAAGCCAAGAAGAGATCAGAAAACTTCTTGTTATTGGAGGAAGAAGAAGAAGATTTCTTGAAATGTATTTTGGATGAAGATATGGCAATCCGGTCTGAGAAATGGACAGACTTTGATGATGCAATCCCGGGTTTAGTGCTCGACTTGGAGAGGCTTCTCTTCAAAGATCTGGTGAGTGAGATCGTGCACGGTGAGATTGGTCGGCTGCAAGCAAACTCAAGAAGACAGAAAACTTTTTTCGCTGATGAGTAGATATTGATTCATAAGCTCCTTCTTTTGAAACTGTATTCTAAAGCCGTGTATATATAATAGTACAAGACACGTACACGTCAATAGTTATGTAAACATTCTCTATGATAATCACTTTTTCTTTCTGCTCTTCTTCGCCTGAAACCACAGCCTCAAAAGACAAGTTTGACACAAACTATACTCCAAAAAGAATAGACAGTATGATACAGGAACAGAACACAAGATATGCTCCAACAATGGATCGTCTAAGTACATAAGTCACAAGAACTTCCCCGAGAACATTTCAAATTCCATCAAATTAGTGAGAGAAAGAAAAGAGAAGAAGCATTCTCAGGATTTGGTACCTAAACAAAAAAAATTACAACTCGCCGATCAGCTGAATCAACGGTCAAGATTAACTCAGGACATTAATCAACGGACTAGATTATCTCGTGACAAATCGGTACATACACAGCGAGGGTTATTTTTTATTGCACTATGAAGGAGACTTGAAAGACGTTGGAGGGTTTTATCACTACCGGCGACAACTGAAGACGCTTCCAGAGATTATTTTCGAGACTCCAAAAAGGTTTGTAAAATCATTTGCTTTTGAGCTTCGAGTTTCTCCGTTAATTCCGGTTTCGATCTTATTTTCTGAAAGTTACATTAGCTGATCCTTGCTAGATCTTTCAATTTCCGGTTCATTTCCTTGTCCATGCGACTCTCCCCAGCTCTAGGGATTTGATTTGGATTCTACATGTGTTTTGTCTGTTATTTCATTTCTCTGCTACTGAGTTAATGGAATCATCAGGAACGGGATGTGTGAGTTAAAGTTGTAAGCTTTAGAGTCGATTCTGATAGATACTGCTGTGTGATTCTATCCGGGAAACAACAATTGTCAGAAAACAGATCTCTATTCATGAGTTTTTCACCTTGTGGTCACCAATCTATCTACATTTTCAATGTTTGTTCTTTTGATATTGTCGTCTTGAAAATGTGCTTACAGATTGACGAAGATGCATTACATGGGTTTGTTTAGTAAAGCTGGAAACATATTTAGGCAACCTAGATCGTTGCAGGCTTCGAACGCTTTGTTACAGGGAAATCTTTCTTTGACTCCATCCAAACTCTTTGTTGGAGGTGAGACTTTAAAACTTCTGTTTTGTCTTGACTCTTGAGAAAGAGTTTTCTTGATTTGAGTTTCTCTATTTGATTGGATTATGTGTCTTATTCTGTTACATGCTGCTTCTTTTCAGGTCTCTCACCAACCACTGATGTAGATCTCTTGAAAGCAGCTTTTGGCAGTTTCGGAAAAATCGTTGATGGTAGCTTTCGTTTTTTCCAGCTGAATTCATTTTTCCATCGGTTTTTCTTCTCATTGCTGATTATATTACTTTGTTCTTCGCAGCTGTAGTGGTTTTGGACCGTGAAAGTGGTATATCTAAGGGCTTTGGTTTCGTAACATATGATTCTATTGAGGATGCTAATAAAGCAATGCAATCTATGCATAATAAGGTGATACCAATTTTCCAGCTTCTTTTAGTTGTTATATATCATGTCATGAGTCTAATTTCTTTCTTGCTTTTGTTTTCTTTCCATACCCTTACTATCTTCTGACTTTGTGACACAAGTTTCTAGTACACTAGTTAGTATATTCAGTTTAGCATCTAGTTTGTAATGCTATCTCTTGTTTGATAAGAAACTTTCTTAGTTGATGGGAACCACTTGAACAAACTCAAAATACGAAATAGAACCATTCATATTATTGCTTTGTTTATCGCATTTACCTTAAAACAGAAAGAGAAATGGTTTGGTACTGCCTAACTGCTTCAGAACCAACTGGGTTGTTCTTTCTTTCTTTGCTTGGATTTGTCAATCCGCCATTTAAAGAGTTTCCTGCTAAAACAGGAAGTTGATGGGCGAATAATTGGAGTGAAACCAGCTGATTCAGGAGGCGGTGGTGGTGGTGGTTTTGCTAGAAGTGGAGGTTATGGTGGTGGTCGTGGGGGATATGGTCGTGGTGGATTTAGTCGTGGTGGATTTGGCGGTGGTGGCTTTGGCTTTGTTCGTTAACTGGGCATCCAGGAATGTTTAACACCGACGTTGATTAGTCTGTGGTTTGGTTTTCTCTTCACAAAGACCACTATTTTGTTATAAAAATGTTCTTGATGTTAGAACAAACCAAGCGGCTAAAGTTAGCAAAAAGAATATTTGTTGGTTCAATAGTTTCATACAAATAAAAAAAAAGGTACAAATTTGGAGATATGAATAACGAGTTTAGGTTGACCAAAAAATGATAATGGGTGAGCCACATGATAATAATCACTTAAAAAGCTTTTAGTCCAATGAGTTTATGAGAGATTCAAACTTGAAGATAAGCCAGTCTGCTTTTGCTGCAACGGCTTCACGAAGTTGAACCCCAGCGTAGCATATGAACAAGTCTGCGCCACCAGGTTTACGTGCCTGCAAGTGAATAACTTTAGTTAATTAGACATTTCAGAGTTCATTGTTATCTGTAAATTCTCAGTTTATAAAAGCTTACTTCCAGATCAGTAGCACCATCTCCAATCATGGCCATAGTCTTGTAGAAACGACCCTGGAATGCACAGTCTCATTGGTACAATGTTTTATTCAACAAGAGATATAAAGCTTGCAGACTAATAAGTTTAATGAACCTTTCGTATTTGTTCCACTGCCTTGGCTTTGCCTCCACTTCTTGATGTAGGTTCATTCTCATCAAATCCCAGAAACTCGCCGGAGTTTCCAAATAGAAGATTGTTGGCAAAGATATTCTCCCGAGGGATGCCAAGAATTGATGCTACAGGCTACATGGAAAAGAAATTCATTCAAAACGTTATCACCATCATTGTCGTAGCTACACAAGAACTGATGCAACAGGTCATAGTAAAGAACATGAACAAAAAAGTGAGATAGAGAGAGTACATTGATCATCTGTCGAAAACCTCCAGATATCAAATAGACATCAATATTATTGGCTCTGAGCTTCTTGACCAACTCTACAATGCCAGGGGATAACCTACATAAAACAAAGAAACACGCTATAATAATAGATTTCAGAGAGCAATATGTATATATGGAGAATCAAGCAAGCTAGATGTTAAATTCTCTTTTGGTCAAAGTCTATTTAAGACAAGAACTTGGGGCCAAATGGAACCAAAAATTCTAGTTCTTTATATGTGAAATGATTTCTTTAAGCAGAGTAAATCAAGGGGAAGTAGCTCGCATCATACTAAAGAATCAAAATAACAACATTTGCAAGGTGTGAACAAAATCAATACCTTGGGGGTCTCTTTTCGAGATATTCCTCAACTTTTGCAAGAGAAGGCTTGAACAAAGAAAGTCTTGCAGCTAGAGCTTCTTCAAATGGAACAGATCCACCCATAGCTCTAAGAAAGCAATACTCAATATGTTTAGGTAAAAAAGCCGAGAAAAATCATCAGAGCTCTAGTATTTCCGTTGAGATGGACCACAAACCTGGCAGTCCATTCAGCAACAGCCTTTCCAGCACCACAAAACTCTGCAAGTTCATCAATACCTTCATCCACACAAACTGTGCTATCCACATCGAAGCATACCGCTTCAACACTTTCCCAAAGATCAAGAATTTCTAGCAAGTAAGAAAACAAACAACGAACAAGCAGAAACTAAGCTGCAAATCATACAAAAACTATATAAACAGTTAATCCTTAACAGCAGCTCAGGTCAACAATGGCAAAACAGATTCTAAAGTAACGAGAAGTAGTTACCATTAGAAGGGACAATATTGCCTTCGTAGCCCAAAGCTGACAACTCCTGTGGCTGCACAGAAGCAGTCACTGGACGGAGAAATTTGGAATGGTGCATAATCGAAACACGCTCTCCACAAGGATATCTCCTTAATTCAAGGCAGGACAAATTAGCAAAAAGTGATGAGGGCTTTCTACAGGAAACCTGAAGTGGCACAACCCGTGAAGTAGTTAAGGCTTCCATTAAACTTGGAGCTACAAACCACAAGAAAACAAGAGTGCCAAATAAGTCTGACGTTTCACTTGACCAAAAGAAAGACACTTTGTGAATCTTAGACATCAAAAATATCAAAGTAAGCTAACAAAAATGGCACAATTTGGTCAAATTAGCAAAAGAATAGGAGATAGAAAGCTGTTAGAAGTTTTATTACCCATCAGCCTCACATAACATCAAGTTCAATACAGATTTCATTCAACAAATTCAAATATTAAACTAAACCCGACTCTAAATCTAGAATCGTTTTCCAATATGAAAGAGCTAAGATGTAATGTTTCGATGCAATGGATATCGATTTCAGAAGTCTATTGTGAAAAGAATGGAATCCACCTGATCTATCAAATTGCCAAGTAGAAACAGAAACATCAAAAACCGAACGAAAACAGAGATTCACGATGTAAGATTCGGATCAGAGATCTGTAACTCGACGAAGAAGAACAGACGAGAAAATTACAAACCGGAAAATTCGCTGGTGGTCGTCTTCGGCTGCTGCTTGGAGGATCCGATCAATTAAAATCAAAAGCCACTAAGAAGAGTGTCAATTGGTTGGGGAAAGTATTAACCGAAAATGACAATTTTGCCCTTTTACGTTTTTTTAAACATGAAACCGTGAAGATGACTATTTTATCCTCTCATTTCGTTTTTAATGGTTAACCGTCGCGGGTCAATTCTGATAGACCAGCAAACTAGTAAAGGCGTTGCGAAAATAAGATTTGATAATATCCGGTGATTGTAACTCCGGTGAAGCTAACCTTAAAACATTTATGTCTTCAAATTAAACAGTGTACAATTTTTCTCAGAGACAAGTGGGAAACAGCTGGAAAACCAGACAAAGGTGGAACAAAACAAGTTACACCCAAATGTCTCTCTCTCTCTCTCTCTCTCTCTCTCTCTCTCTCTCTCTCTCTCTCTCTCTCTCTCTTTGAGATTCCATCAATTAAACACTAGAGAGACCCACACTCACATGATCCCACCACATTATATCACTTAGTTAGCTAAACAAGTAGTAAGGTAATAAGAGAGTGAAGAAGACTATGAATCCAAATCTTGGGTTTTGGAGTTTGAATCCAAAGGATGGATCTGTGTAATCCGGGTTAATACCACCGCCTGTTCCAGACGGTATTCCCAATCCTCCTCCTGTTGATGGTGTCATTGAGTAGGGTCTTGTATTAGTTGTTGTAGGGACTCTTGTCGAAGGTGTTGTCGTCACTGGAGTCGTTGTCCCACTACCACTGTATTTAATGGCACAGAAACAACATACATACAAAAACACTATCTCAGATTGTAGCAATCAGCTAATTTCAAGGTTGAATCAACGCAAGATTTAACAAAGCATATCTAAATCAAAGCCAATTCTTGTTTCAAAACACTTAAACATGAAAGAAAGGTGTGTACCTGGCACTTGCAGGGAAAGGACAAGTAGAGTAGCCTATATCACAATACCACAATGGCACAAGAGAAGAGACAACAGTTACTAATAAACAAATATATGTTCTATAATCTAGTTTCAAATCTGTTTAGAGAATCTTGAGGTGTGATACTATATAATAAGATAATGAATACTTTATCTCTCATATCACTCACATTGAAACATGTGAAGTTTAGTTTTGAATAGTATATAACTATATACTATCATCTCTGATTTGCTTTCAAGTTGTGTTCCATTTTACTCAGAATTAAATACTCTACCCACCTTACTCACTTTCATCGATTGCTTTTAACTTTACCTCCTTAAGTTACTAAATGTGAAAGATGATGGACCAAATCTAATGAATGTATGCATAGAAGTTGGTAAGAGAGACTCACTGGGATCAGAGGCTGAGACGGTGGCTGTGCCAGCGAAGTCACAAGTCCCCTGAGACTGACCTTTCTTCTGAAAGAAGCTGTTGACTGCGTAGGAGCAATGAGACTTGACTGTGTTAGGATTGAAGCAAGGTCCGTTCTGATGAATGGGTACACAATCAGCTCCTGCACCACATGCGTAGTCCAATGTCTTCTGCAGCATTGCCTCGCTTAACCCTTCTCTGCATACACACCATGTTCCACCTAAATACATAAAACACATAAGACTTTCATGACCATTCTTCAACTCTCATTCACTGATTATGTGTGAAATGAAAGCTAAAATGTGTAATTCAAGAGGGAACAAGATTGTTGAAATCCACAGTCAAAAAGGAAACACCTTTTTATGAAAAGGAAGGTATGGGTAAAAGCAAAAAAAAAATGGCAATTCTTTGTAGACAATTTGATTACAAACTATAAAATCTAAGAAATTTGTGACTGTTCTGTTATAACAGAGAGTAGGAGAAAGGAGGAACTTTTATGAAACAAAATGACAAAAAAAGAAGAATCTTTTTTCCCATCAAAAGAAAAGAAGAAGATCTATATGAGACAAGAGAATGGTTATTTTATTAAAACATTGCAGGGTTTGACACAGAGAAGATATCCTTACTTGAGTGGCCAGCCATGGCCAACAAAATCGCAGCAAGAACAACAACAGCCATGGTCGCTGCACCAGAACCAAAGCACTTTTGGATGCAGCTAGTTGGAGAGAGAGAGAAAGAAGGATGAATAAATAGAGGAGATTTGAGAAGGTTTTGAAGGTAACAGGAGGTGTGGTAAGAGAGATAGAGAGAGAGAAAGAGAGTCACTGCATTGAAGACAGTGAAAAGGAAAGGCTTTTTTTTCTGCTTAGATCCTGCAGAACAATGATGTCTTTTATTAGTTAGTTTATTAACTTATTCTTAGTATTATTATTACAGTCTCTCTATTCCTAAAACAAGTGTATAGTATTAGTACAAAATACATATATCACTTGTTCAATTTTTTCATTATTACAAAAGGGTACAACTAATGTTCTTGTCAATGAAAAATAATGTTATGTGACGGGAAAAAGAAAGTATTTACTTATAATTGCATCAGAAGTCGAAGAAGGCATCGTCGTAGGAGTATAGTCCGTGCGGCATCTAACGTTAATTGTTTTACGGACGTTGGATTCTTTCCAGATCGAGCGGTGGATCATCACCCAATCCTATCATAGCTGCTGGATTTTCTTTATCTGTTTCCAGTTAACACAGTGACCCATATCAATCAATGGGATTCAAAACATTACAGTGCGGATCAAAAGATTCACTTTATGATGAGGCTTAAAACCAAGAACTGAAGTTGTATAACAGGCCTATAAGGCCCATAGGAGTAGTACACTGATATGATAAACTAGTACATGGAGTAGTGTCTTGTTCGAGAAGTAAGTCATTCTCATAGTTAGTGAGTGAATGTCTAGCATTTAACTCGGGAATTGAACGAGTTTGTACAAAGATGATGTTCATGTGTTACACTTGTCAACTGATGGTTTTGTGTTTATGAATTATGATAATTAAAGTCAAGGACAATCCAATGCTCCATGCTCTCACTTGATTTATTAAAATTAATTTCAACTTCGGATTCATTTTATGAGTTACACAATCAGTTTAATCCAATTTGGTTTGTAATTTGAAGAGATCAAACGCATAAGAGTTGGATAAACTAATTAAACCACTAAACTATGCGTCTAAACCATGAAGAGTTGTAAACAATTTGGATCTAACTCTCACTCAATCCTTCATCTTCATCGTTGTTCTTCACGTGTGATGTGACCTTCATCATTTTTTTATTTTATTTTGTCTTGTCTTGTCTTCATATCAACTAAATTAAATAAGATATATAAAGTAGTAAAATTATTTTAGTTAAGAAGTAATTTTATAATTGGTTGGACTCGTTTCCACTAAAATATAAATAAATAAAGTGGAAAATTCTGATGAGCTCAATTGGTGTGTGTTCCGACCCAAAAGAAATCAGGAAGAAGATTGACAAACAAAAGGATTCACCTTTACTGTGAGAGAGAGAGAGAGAGAGATTGGAGCAAGAGAAAAGAAGTGAAGCTTGGAGATAGAAGAACCACGTAGAGGATTCTAATCCGTGGTCACAAACGAAGGACCCAGAACAGTACACGACTTCTCTCTCTCTCTCTCTCTCTGTTGCTTCTTCGCTTCAATCTCTTTCCTTTGTTTTCATAAATTTCTTTCCCAAAGTTTCGATTTTTTGTCAGTTTGTAGAATTTCTTGTGTTGATCGATCACTCCTCAGATGTCGAACGAAGACTCTCTTCCGGCATTCACTTTATTCGGTTTGGATGATGTCGAAAATTACGGTCTGGTGAGTCCTCTTGGCTTACTTGGATTGCGAAATAGTGTTTGCTAACAATGCATGTTCTAGTTTCCGATCATCCCTTTTTAGTTATCTAAAATTTTATTTTGTTGATATTTTCTAGGTCAGTGAAGCAGACAATTCTTTACCTATAGAGATTCACAGTCAGGTTTTTCAACTTGTGGAGAAGGGAAACCAAGCATTCAAAGAGTCTCGCTTTGAAGAGGTGAGACCTCTTTTCAACTTTTTTTTGGCTTGTTGCTTTCTTCAGGGGATTGCCTTAGCTGAAAGAGTAGCTAAGGCAAATGAGATAGACGTATCTGTTGTTCTTGCCAATAACATAGGTTTTTTCCCAGGCCATTAGCAGTTATTCAAAAGCCAGTTCTATCAAGCCTCTTGACCCTATTGTTCTTAGCAATAGAAGTGCTGCTTATATAAGGTAAGGTTTCACAAAACCGACGCCCTCTTTTATTACTTCCGATGGAGTTGTCATGTTGTTTTCATCAAAGATTATATTGGATTGTGTAACTAGTTCTGCCTTTTTTACTCAAGTTTATTAACAGTACACCGTGTTAATATATTCTGATTTCTCTCCATCTCCCATCCTTTTTTATTTATAGATTTGGCCAATACCTGAAGCAGAGATCTGCATCAATATCTGAATATAGACCTCTGAATGGTTTTGATATGTCAATGCTTGGGGAAGTATGTATTCTACTTGCTTAACCTGTTACAGCCAGGTACAAAATTCATTGACCCTTACTCACCCTGGAAAACTTGATATTTCCTGCAGCTTGCTCTAAAGGATGCTGATAAGCTAATGAATCTTCAGAGCAATTCAGTGAAGTCATATACTACAAAGGCTTGTGCCCTCATGTTGGTATGTACTGACTTATATTTCTGTTTTTACATTCATTTTGTTGTTAAGGTACTATCAAGATGTATCAGTTTTGTGTCGGTCTACTTCATGTCACATGTATCAATTTTTTTTTATTCTGCAGCTAGAAAGATATGATGTAGCACGTGATACTATCCTCTCAGGTCTACAGATTGATCCCTTTAGGTACATTTATGTGTTATGTTCTTTATCTGTATTGATTCTTAACCGAACGTGTCGTTTTTAAGTTTGGGGTTTCTTTCTGATCGCATGAAGCGATCCTCTCCGATCCAATCTTCAGGAATTGGAGAAAGTGATGCCTACTTCGATGAGTAAAACCCATGGAAAGGCTGAGCGCTCTGATGAATTTGATTGCACTGTTTGCCTGAAATTGCTGTATGAACCTGCTACAACTCCATGTGGGCATACATTCTGCCGATCATGCCTCTTTCAGTCAATGGATCGTGGTGGGTGTATATGGTTGTTTGTTTTTTAAATCCTGATATATTCTTCTTTTACTATTGCGTTGCTTATTAATTCTTTGTGGAATATAGGCAACAAATGTCCACTATGTCGAACTGTTATTTTTATGACTCCAAGAACATGTGCTGTCAGGTAATTTTTTTTTAACTCTCTCTATTGACCTTATAGCTACATGCCATACTGATTATGTAACTGTAGCTTGTGTTCTAAATTCTTTTACTGAAGCAACTTTGTGTTGGCAGTGTGACGCTGAATAACATCATACAAAAGAACTTTCCAGAGGAGTATGCTGAAAGGAAATCAGAGCAAGACACTCTGGTTCACTTGGGCAATGAAAGTATGCCCCTTTTCGTCATGGATGTGATCATCCCCTGTCAGAAGTTGTCTCTTCATATATTTGAACCACGATATCGACTAATGGTGAGTTCTCTCGGGTTTTTTTTTTCTTACGGGTTATGTACGTTTAACTGCATTTAACAACTTAAGTAGCCTACTCTTTTCGGCCATTTGGAAACTCGTTTAGTCCGAAAAAAAATTGAGCTCGATATCACAAAACTCTGAAATGATCTTAGACTGTACACGTTGTTTTAAAACTCTTCATAAAGACACAAACACTTATTTTAGGGGAACAAACTCAAGAAAGTGAAGTGGAGAAAAGATTAAAGTGGTCTCCAAATGAACAATAATAGTTAAACTTTTATGGCAACTTTATTCTGCAGCAGTAGTACGGTCTGTACTCAGTACATTGATTAATATGTGCTGACTGAAATAGGTGAGAAGAATAATGGAAGGAAATCATCGGATGGGAATGGTGGGTATTTTGTCCTTTTGCTTCTTTTTCTTAGTTATACACCTGTAAAAGGTTCCTAACTAGCAAGGTTTGGCCATTCCAATGTTCATAGGTAGCTCTTGATTCTGCGACAGGTTCTCCAGTGGATATTGCTTGCGAAGTTGAAATCACAGAGTCTGTTGCTTGTTTCTTTCTGATGATATTTGATGTTCTTGAGTTGATGATTTTAAATTACAGTTAACTCACCCAAAGTCTGCTAATATTTTGGAAATACGCAGGTGTGATCCACTCCCTGATGGTCGTTTTGTCCTGGAGGTGGGTATCAATTTTCATCACTTCTTCTTAAATTCATATCACTTGGATATATTTGACTAAATCTCTGATGCTGTGACATAGCCAACCTATAGAAATCGTATTTTTAGGCTATCTGATATTTGTTTGAGACTTAACTGTTGAGAAAAGTAGTTTGCAGTTTATCACGTTTTTACGTATCTTGTAGCGGTATTTCATATCTAACTTCTCAAGTGATTAACTTACTATATGATTTCGGCAGCTGGAAAGCCATAGAAGGTGCCGCATTGTAAAAGCCTGGGATCAAGATGGGTAAGATTTGTCATTCTGATCGCTTGATATTACTGCTCGTATTATTTTTTAAATGTCTTCATTTTCGTGTTGGGATGTGATATACATGTTCCCAAATTTGTATTTTTCAACATGTGTGAAGAGTAGATATTTAGTCTTCTTGTAAACACAATTATCTAAATTTGTTTCATATACATTCTTTCATTTCAGCATTTATAGACACAAAAACGCTGAACTTCTTTTTACACTTTTTGCTTTTCAGGTATCGTGTTGCAGAGGTTGAATGGGTGACAGATATACCACCACAAAGCGAGCAAGATAAAGCAGATGTATGACTTTTTCTACTTTTTTCTACTGTAAGTTTGTTTCCTTTCTCGTTTTTGCTCACCTTTCTTTATGACTTCTTAAAGCTGCGGGAACTGACGACTAGTGCAGCATCATTTGCTCGGTCATGGCTAGATAGAGCAAAGGAAGCAGCTAGACAAGGAGGTAAGCAACTATACATTAGCTGAAAAGGGGAATTGTATCTCTCATGAGTTCTGATATTTCCAGCCTAGCTATAACGACTGAAACAATTCATTAGACCAATAACTATAGTACTATCTTTTTCAAATATCTGGTTATCAATGTCTTTTCCGGCTGTGCTCAAAACTCAATAGAAAAAATGGTCTATTGTTACTGTCTTAGTCTTCGAACAATCTAAAATAAATATCTACGAATCAACCATTTTCCTTTTCTGATGTTTTATTTTTAGTGCATAGTATCAAATATATTGCGTTGCAATTGGATTCCTATCTCAGACTCAAATAGTTACCAGTTTATGTTTTCTGATAGTAACTGAGTGATGATAGTTGTGCCACTTGTTTTTGTTTTTTTTTGGTTATTTCAGACAGGATCTAGTCTTCTAACCCTTTTATCTTTGTATTTGCAGACAGAAGACGACTTGAAATACTTTTAAATGTCGAATCTATGATCCCTACGCCTCAAGACCCTGAACGCTTCAGTTTCTGGGTAATGTTGTTTATTAGCAAAAACACACAACTATTGCCATATATTCACTTGTGTTAAATTGTTTCTCAATGAGTTCTTTTGGCCTCAGCTTGCTACGTTGACAGATAGGAGACCTTCAGAAAGATTGGAACTACTTCGGCTTCAGGATACTGGAGAGGTACTTGAATATCGACTAGTCTAGACTGCTCGACAAATCTCATAGCTTTATGAGTCCATTTCTTCTGATTGTTGAAACTTTTTGTTGCAGAGAATAAGGCGTGGGTTGATATATCTCCGATCAGTAGAAAGAGGATGCAGAATGCAATGAAGTGGCATCAACAGGAACGTTGTATCAACTACAGGGATAAACTTGGGATCTGTTCATAAGAAAGTTGACAAAAACATTATTTTTAAAAGGAATACATAAGATAGAGATCCTTGTAGGATCCTATCATCCTTGGTCGATCTGGTGTTGTAGAATTTGTTTGCAGAAGAACAAAAAAAGAAAACAGGAGAAAATTTCTGAAATATACAATATCTCTTTTTAGATACAGTTTGTTATTGTTTTCTCAAATCTGGAAGCTTATAAAAGTGAGTTTTGATTAACATATAGGAGTTCTCAAATTTTGATCAGTACACACATATGCGTGCACAGAATGGGTCACATCCTGATGATACAACATGATAACACCAAGCATCATAATACCAACATCACTCTCATAAACCATCTTCACGAGACATTATTAAAACCATGACCACCACACATCACTCACCATCACGAAACGAGAGGGAGAGGGGGTCCCAACTTTGGAATTAATCAGTAATTTCTGTATAACAAACAACAAATATACAGAACTGATCTTTTATACAACTGAAGTTTTTACACATATACATATATATGCTTATGGTATTGCGGTAGCTCTATACAGTATGCCTGGAAATCATGAACTGCGCTGTAGTTTATTATAATTCTCCAAAAAATAACTGATTATAGAAGCTTATACTGAAAATAACATTAACAAATAGATGCTTCATGGCTTTCTCCATGTTTGCTTGATCATGTTAACTTTGTCTTTTTCAAACCATCAATATGCATATAGTCTTTTGAGTTCTTGCATTCTTGGAGCTCTCATATGGATCCACTTGGGAAGCTTTTTATGACACAGTCAAGTTAATACAGAGTCAATCATTTCCCTTGTTTCTTACCTGCAATTCCAAAGGCCATAACACTTTGTTGCTCACCATGTCTTAAGATCTTTTACTAAAACAGTGTAAAGTAAAACAAAAACATCAAGTGCTGAATCTAGGTGAGTATAGGGCACTATAGCACAGTAGATCAAAAACATAATCTTTTTTTCTTGTTAGTTAGTAGTATTATGATTTTTTACCTTTCTGAAACCAAGATTTTCGAACTAATTGACGAATCTGGCGTTCATGGCGTTCTAGAAGCTCATCAACTCCATAAGATTTAGACAACAAGGGGCCTGAGAATTCGATTTTTTCATCATTGTCTTCGTAACCCTGTCAAGATCTTAACTCATTAGCATCATTGAGTACTTTTTTCAAAATATCCTAAAAGAAGAGTAAGCAAATCATGCATGTTCTACTTTTTCCTCACAAGTTTTTAGGTGAATATAAAAAGTGGAAGAGAGAGAAAAGAATTTAAAGCAATAAAGCTACACTTAGTCAAATAGCAATCAGGATCTCAGAGTCAAACATCAATATGAAGCTTTGAAATCCATAGCGTACTGCTGATACATGTGATCTTCAAACCATTGCTACTAGCAAGCTTAAGATAATTAGCATACCAGAAGTTTCAGGATCACAACTTTAATTTATATAAGTTAAGATTGGCATAAGAAAGGTTCAGGCAGGTACTTAATTTCCCTTGGTGGAGACGTGCGAACCTAAGTATACTTGGTATCTAGTATATCAACTACAATTTCGAAATTACGGGAAAAAGGATTGCTTCTATAATCTAAGGACGTACCAAATGACCCAGCTTTGCTGCCTTTTCTTCTCTCTGATAAAGTGCCAATGACAGTTCCTGTGAATGATACTCGTCAGAAGCATCAAAAGAATCTGGTCGTTCAAGTTGCCTCCACTTCTTTAGCATTGAAAGCTTTAACATCTCATACGCCTCTCGGTCTTGGGAATCTGTTCTTGCCCCATCTTTTTCTTCATTTTCTTTCTCATTTATCTTAGAGTCAACGTCAGTGTTCTCACTGCATGCAGGAGAAGGTCCCAACAGGTTATTAATGTGACCTCTTGAGAATGATCTATTATGTGATCTAACACATATATCATCTTTTCTTCGCTTTGCCCAGGCAAAACCGCTTGAGACAGATACTTGCAAAGGCCCTGAGAAAGGTACATCTCCTTGTGATGCGTTCTTCACATGAGAAGCTTCGTCTTTTTCATGATTTGATGGCTTTTGTAGTTTCTCACATAATGTGGCGTCACTATCAATCGAACTATGTACTGAATGACCATTACGTTTTGGCATTTTTTGAGAATGGTGTCGTACATCCTGCAAGTTGAAAAATAAGAAAGTTTTTGATCGTTGCATTTTTTTTTTTTGCTTAAGGGATTTAGTCGTCGAAAATGCAGATAATAAGTAAACAAGAGAATATATCAGAAATACCTCAACTGGTGCCAATTTGGCATATGCAGGGGGCTTACGTGTTGGCTTCCTTGCCTCTGTACCACGTCTCCCATTCCCACTGATTTTTTTCCTGGAATCCCAAATTAAACATAGGGGGAATAATGAATAAGTGCTTCCAGGACCTGACACTTTAGGAACTTAAGACCATATATAATTATGGTGCACAGATTTTACAACATAAACCAAGTGATTGCCATAGGCTGTAAGGGTAAAGTGTGTGTTTCCACAGGATTTCTCTTCAAAAATATTGTGATGATGATGGTAATGAATAAAATTCTGACCTTATTGTTTCTTCTCGATGCTTTGCATCAATCTCCTTGCTAGGCGAGTATACAGGCAAACTTGAGGGATCACAAGCAAAAGGCTTTGAAGTAAAATACTGAAAAAAAAACATACAGGTAATGTCTTTTGAAAAGATGTGACAATACCAAAATGATATCTTCCTAGAAAAAAAAAAACTTCGAACATGGCGCTGTTATATATTAGCTGAATGACAAAATGGTTACCTGAGAAACAAGAGCAGTAGAGGCAGAACCACGTTTGTGAGGCTCTATAGATAGAAGAGTTTCTATGAGATTGATGTCAGCATCGGACAAATCTTTCAGGGCTTCTCGGAGACAACCATCATAATGTTGCTGTGGTTTGAAAAGCATTGCATGAGGAAGTTTGGATTTTTTCCAGTAATCCGCAGGTGGAGATCCACACAGTTTGAATATCTTGTGCAGCTGTTCGACCTGTAGCATACATTTCAAGAAACAGCAAACTTTGAGTTATATTTATACAGAATCAAAAGGTCTGAAGCTACCTGTAGCATATATTTACAAGACAACATACCTCAGTTCTTCCCTGCAGAACCGGTTTCCCGAGAAGAAGTTCAGCAAAAACACAGCCAACACTCCACAAGTCAACAGATGCTCCATATTCTGTTGCCCCGAGCAGAAGTTCAGGCGGACGATACCACAGAGTTACAACTCGACTAGTAAGAGGTTGTTTATTCCCAGAAGCATTGCAAAAGTTAGCTAGCCCAAAATCAGCCACCTTTAATATTCCTTCATTATTCACCAAAAGATTAGAACCCTTAATGTCCCGATGCATCACACCTCGTGCGTGACAATGATCAAGTCCAGACAACAACTGTTTCATGTAACACTTAATCTGCAAGGCCAGAGCAACAGTCATCCCTCAGTTACCAATCGGGACAAAATAATTTAAGTATAAGAGAATATGATGCTTGGCTCACTACGAATCAAACTGACCTGTGGAGTAGTAAAGTTGATATCAGGGCTAGAAAGAAGACCAGTGAGATCATGCTCCATATACTCGAACACGAGATGTATGTTGCAAGATAGCTTTGAAGTAACAATACCTTCTAGTTTGATAATGTTGGGGTGATTAAGTCTCCTAAGGATCAAAATCTCTCTTGCCATGAACCTAACACTCTCCGGCTCAAAATTGTCAAATCTAACCTTCTTCAAAGCCACAATCCTCCCTGTTTCAGTCTCTCTCGCACGGAACACACTGCTATAAGTCCCTTGTCCAATCTTCAAAACCACAAACCAAATCATTTTCAGAGACCACAATCAACAATTTCAAAAATATAATTTAGAGAGAGTAAGAAAATAAAACCTTTTCGAGCTTTTCGAAAGCGTCGGATCGAAATGGAACCCAACCATGAATAGCTTCACCAGCGACGTTGCTGAGCCAGGCAGGCCAACCAGCTGCGACCTGCTCAGCTTCAAGGTACTTGCTCAAGTTACCGAGCCGGAAACTCACCGACTCGCTCGCCCGACCAGACTCGCTCAGCTCACCAAACTCGCTCCCCAACTCACTACCGCTCTTCTTTCTACTACTACCCTTTTTCCCGCTCTTGCTCCTCCACGACAAAAGCTTCTTCTCCGTCGCCTCAACCAAAATTCGACCGGAACCAGAACAAGCATTGTCCTTAAAAACACCAGAATGATCGATCGCCGGGGTAACAGAAACAGTCTGCTTCGAGCTGACACAACCCATTCCTCTCAGAATTGTTTGGTCGCTCCTCCGCGTTAACACATGTGTACAGTAACCGCCGGTTACGATACGAATCGTCGTCTCGGATCCGGATTGACTAAAACTATTGAAGTTTCGTTATAATATATACAGAGAGAGAGAGAGAGAGAGAGAGAGAGAGAGAGAGAGAGAGAGAGAGAGAGAGAGAGAGAGAGAGAGAGAGAGAGAGAGAGAGAGAGAGAGAGAGAGTAGTAGTAGTAGTAGTAGTAGTAGTAGTAGTAGTAGTAGTAGTAGTAGTAGTAGTAGTAGTAGTAGTAGTAGTAGTAGTAGTAGTAGTAGTAGTAGTAGTAGTAGTAGTAGTAGTAGTAGTAGTAGTAGTAGTAGTAGTAGTAGTAGTAGTAGTAGTAGTAGTAGTAGTAGTAGTAGTAGTAGTAGTAGTAGTAGTAGTAGTAGTAGTAGTAGTAGTAGTAG